CCAATTTTACTAAACTCTGAAAAAAATTTAAACGCCTTATTCACCCCCCCTTCTAAGGTGTGGCCATAATGACTAACACATCGTGACTTGTTTGGTTTTCATGCAACTCCATATATAGGAAACAAGATATATGTGATCACATTTATAGATGATGCCTCAAGGTTTTGTTATGTACTCCCTCAGTCTCATTGTCTTTGTCCACTTACCTTTTGGCACACCATCCCATGCACTTCTTTAATCCATTTTATCTTGTAATTTGTATATTAAAAAATTATAGAAGTTATATATTAATAATCTATATGTTAAGACAAATCAAACAAGATCACACATGACTATATTTAGGCTTACACATTGAGAGAATTTGATGAGTCAAAGTTCTTAGATGAACAGTTCCAAAAGTCAAAAGTGGACAAAGACAGTGGGACGGAGGGAGTATATATTTTACATGCTAAGGATCAAGCATTAGAAATTTTTAAGATATACAAAACCGAGGTAGAGTTGCATAAAAATGATTTCTTTAAAACGCTTTGCAATGATCGGGGAGGTGAATATTTTGATCCGGTTTATTTTCAATCCGTTGGCATAATTCATGAAACCACTACTCCCTATACACCACAACAAAATGGTGTAGCTGAGCGAAAGAATAGGACTTTAAAAGAAATGGTAAATTATATGTTATCCTACTTGGGATTGAGTGAAGGCTTCCGAGGAGAGGTGATGTTCATGGTGTGTTATTTATTAAATAAGGTTTCTAAAAAAGGAACAAACTTACCCTTATGAACTTTGGTATGGCTAGCCACCTAATTTGAACTACTTGAAAGTTTGGGATTGTAGGGCTGTTATGAGACTCCCAGAACCAAGAAGAAAACTTTAGGAGAAAAAGGTATTGATTGCATTTTCATTGGATATGACATGCATTCCAAGGCGTATAGGTTCTATGTCATTGAACCTAATGACTCGGTTGGTGTTAACGCCGTCATAGAGTCAAGAGATGCAATCTTTGATGAGAATATGTTCTCTTCAAAATCTAGACCAAAAGACATGGCTCTTGGTAATTCTCTCATTCCAAATGAAGATGATTCTAGTAGTGACTTAGTTCTTACTAATGAATCATTGGTTCCTAGAGAAGTTAGGAAAAGCAAAAGAGGTAGAATTGCCAAAAACTTTGGCTCAAATTTTCAATTATAATTAGTTGAAGGTTCTAGAGATAAGACTTTATTCAAATATCAATATTATTATAATATTGAGGCAGATCCTAAAACATATAATGAAGCTATGGCTTCAAGGGACATGGCTTTCTAGAAAGAAGCAATTTAAGATGAGATGAAAACCACCTTGCAAAACAAGACTTGGAAATTAATTGACTTGCCTCATGGGTGCAAACCTTTAGGATGCAAATGGATCTTCAAAAAGAAGATGAAAGTAGACGGTTCCATTGATAAGTTTAAGGCTAGGTTGGTTATACAAGGATTTAGACAAAAAGAGGGAATTGATTACTTTGACACATATGCTCCTGTTGCGAGAATTTCGACCATTAGGTTGTTGATTGCCCTAACAGCTATACATAACCTTGTCATTCACTGAATGGATGTGAAAATAACATTCCTAAATGGTGAATTGGAAGAGGATATTTACATGAAACAACTCGAAGGCTTTGATATGCCAGGAAATGAGCATAAAGTGTGTAAGTTAGAAAATTCTCTATATGGCTTAAAGCAAGCACCTAAGCAATGACATCAGAAGTTTGGTGATGTTATCTTGTCAACTGATTTTCTTTTCAACCAAGCATACAAGTGTGTTTATAAAAAATTTGATACTTTGGGTAAAGGAGAGATAATTTTTCTATATGTTGATGATATGTTGATTTTTAGCACCAACCAAAATCAAGTCGATAAAACAAAAGATTTCTTTTCATCAAAATTTTCCATGATGGATCTAGGGGAGGCAGAAGTTATCGTAGGAATTAGGATAAAGCTTATGAACAAAGGAATTTCTATTACACAGTCTCATACATTGAGAAAATATTGAAGAAATTCAATTGTGAAAACTGTTCTCCGGTAAACACCCTTATGGATCCAAGCATTTAACTCTTACCTAATCAAGGCAAGGTTGTGTCTCAACTTGAATACTCAAGGGCTATTGATTGCTTAATGTATCTCATGGTAAGCACGAGACTAGATATAGCATATGCCGTTGGAAAGCTTAATAGATTCACTAGCAATCCTGGTACACACGAGAAAAGAGGGAAAAAAGAGAGTTGACTTCTTCTTTATCTTTGCGTAGAACCAGCGAAGTAGCATTCAATTTCAAAGCTCCAACGTTCGGCCACAATCCTCGCCCAAAAACTCCAAAGAGAAAATCCCCTCCAGGTATAAATTGAAGACGTAGAGAATCAATGAGGAAACAGAAATCGCACCAGTTAAATAGAGCAGTGGCTTTTGCTGTTTCAATTGACATGACGCACCAGCGAAGATGCAGATGGCGGCCAACGGTGGCTCACCGGCGTTCGATGATGGATGACTGCGATAACATTAGGGACCTGCTCCAACTCGAATTTCTTCAAGTTTTCTTCATCTTATCCAACAATTGGTAACCGTATATTTGTCAATTTGTTTTTCTTCTCTAATTTCTTTGTAAAAGTGTGTTTAAAATTCAAACTTACACCTTTTTTTCCTTGTTTATTTATATTTCGAAAAAATCCAAAAAAGAGACTCAATGTTATTTTTTGATTTATTTTTTTGAATATTTATATTAAATCCCTTATGAATGAGAATTGGTTCATACTAGTTTTGTTCAATTATTGAGTAAGTTGTTGTTGAATTGGTTGAATTGTATAATTTGATTTCATAAGAAGGTTGGTATGTGGAATTTGGTTTTTGTTTAACTATGAATTTTATTTTGTGATAATGTGTGCATGTTAAATTGATTTAAAAAAGTACAAACTTTCTCTGTGGGATCGGCCCTTACTTGCCCTAGCTATAGTTTTTATTTGATTATATCTTGGGGTTAGTTAAAGATTATTTATAAATTTTTAATTTGTTTTGGACCTCACGACTGGTCCTCAACAAATGGTAATTCTAGACACATGGGTGTTAGATATATCATGATCCATAATTTTATCAAAATTGGTGTGATATCGATTTAGTTTGTTAAAACTCAATACAATTTAGCCAATCATTTAACTAAAGGGTTAAGGAGAGATCTCGTACAAAATTTGGCTAAAGGGATGGGATTAATGTCTGTATGATATCTCTCATGTTAAGATACCCAATTCCCACTTAATATGACGTTAGGTGCAGAATTCAATGTGGAAAGCTCAACATTCAGAGATTGAAACACAATATGAACATCATCCAGAGGTATGTGTTCAGGACTATATGTTAAAGAGGTTGAAGTATATCTTCTTAATGGTTCTTTTGAAAAATTTTGTTTCCAGGTATAAGACATAAAAGAACTACCTATACTAGTATGAAGTTTAGCTGCTTCACAATGTCTGGACTTGACTTTTATATACTCGTTGAAGGATAAAGACACAAGGCTAGTGATGGGAAATAATACGTGGCTCGGCCCACATTTCCCAATTATTTACGAAGAATAATCAAATCGGCCCTATTTCGTAAAATGAAGAAATAAGAGAATATTCCTCGAAGATGCTCCCCCCTCCCTATAAAAGAAGGGGTTGCCCTAATGGAGAGAGAAGGCCAAATTCACTCTCTCCCCTGCCCATTACACACACTCTCTCTAGAATTCTTGTAGTTTATTTCTTCAAAGAGCTCAAATGCTCCATTAATGGCTTCTACGCTTAAATTATGTACCATGTGCAATCCCCGATATCAATAAAAATCCCCCGTTGGCAAGGTACAGCCAAAAAAGGCCCGTGGTTTTCTCCCGATTTGGGTTTCCACGTCAAAATCCATGTTTCTATATTTTGGTGTATTTTTTAGACTAGTTTATCGTTTTTGCCCGGCTAAAAATGATATACCAATCGATAATTTACACCATTATTTTGGCGCCGACCGTGGGACCTAAACAAAAGGCCATGAATTTTAAATTCCTTCATTTTTATTTTCTTCACTGCCAATCCGTCCCAAAAGAAAAAGAGGGACAATGCTCCATTGTTCTGTTCTCACTACCACACAGAAGGAACGAAAAAATCACAAATCTCTCTAATTTTTTCGCCTTTGCTCCTCAATTGGAATCACGCTGTGAGAAATCAACCATCGCCGTAGAGGAAACAGATCCAGCTGTCATTATTGGTGTCCAGCTATACCATTGAGGCTTCTCACTACCTCTGCATGGAGTGAGGAAAGATCTGGATCGAGTGTCGAAATTTGACCTCCGCGCCTCCTCAATGCCGCACACTGTTTCCCCGCCGTCGGAGAAAGTTATCCTTGCCGTCAAAGTGGAGAAGCCGATCTCCAAGACCTAATATTTTCCATTAATCACTGGCAAAGCGCCCACACCACATTCTGCGGCGGAGGCGATGCCGAGGGGACGATGGGTGGGGTTTGCAACTACAAGAATGTGCACAACACGGAGTACGAGACGGACACAACTGCCCTCAGCTCTGTCCTCTTCAACAGCGGCTTGAGATGTGGCTCTGGCCGCGAGCTCAAGTACGACGCCGTCGCTGGAAAGTCGGGTTCCCCGGTACAACCACAATGATGGTGACGAACTTCTTCCCACCGAACCCCAGGCTGCCCAACAACGGCAGCGGGTGGTGCAATCCTCTGTTGCGATCCATCGCAGCCCCCTTAGCTCAGGATTTAGAAGCCATTATCGCTACTTGCTCTAGATATGTCTCCACCACCCGTAGTATTGAGATCTACCACAAGACCAGAGGAACATTATAACACCCTAATCCGTCCAGGTTTGCAGCCCTTTTCGGACTAAAATATTAACTTGGTAATTGTAAAATTTAAAACTTTTCAAACACTTTTATTTATCACGATAATATTTTTCGTAACATATACAGTGCGAAGTTTTCAATATTGCGGAAGCTTAACAAATCATAATTACAAACATAATTTGTTTATGTTCTTTAATTCAAAACCATCACATCCATTCCGACAATCTCGCCTCCGTCTGCCTCCAGAATCACGTCACATCATTCTTTCTATTAACCTGCGTGTAGCAAATAAAACATACTACACGCTCAGCGGTGAAGCTGAGTAAGCATATCTAATGCGTCGAACATCCATATAAATTGANGTTTTCAATATTGCGGAAGCTTAACAAATCATAATTACAAACATAATTTGTTTATGTTCTTTAATTCAAAACCATCACATCCATTCCGACAATCTCGCCTCCGTCTGCCTCCAGAATCACGTCACATCATTCTTTCTATTAACCTGCGTGTAGCAAATAAAACATACTACACGCTCAGCGGTGAAGCTGAGTAAGCATATCTAATGCGTCGAACATCCATATAAATTGAACCCAAATTCATAATCAAATCATTTGATATCATGCACAAAGTATTCAGTTCAACTATACAATAATCAATATTCAACATTCGTCATTCAATATTCGTATTCAACATTCAACATCCTCATTCAATAATATCCTTAAACTATTCTTAGTCTAAGGCCAATCTATTTGATGTTTACCAACTCTTAAACGAATTCTAGTTTAAGATATTTAAACTATATTAGAGTTTAAGGTACTCTTAACTAACCCTTAAGCTAGGCCTGGTTTAAGATACAAATTTTCAAAAAGAGGTTTGATTTGCAGTATACAACGGGCAAAAATAACAACTAAAAAGAAACCCTTGTAAGTAGGGTGTCGAACCTCAGGGAGACGTGAGTTAATTTAATTAAAACAAAAGTTTACAAAAGAAGTTGTAAAATATTTTTGGTCTTTTTGGTTTTAGAGATAAAATAAAAAGTGTAAAAAGAGAGAGTTCCAAACAACACAAAGTTTTTGATGATGAAAAGTTAGGGGTAGAAATTGATAAATTAATTGTCCAATGTTTTTATAAAAGTTGGATTGTTAATTTATTTTTATATAGAATGTGTGGGGTTGCAGAAAAGTATTTAGGGACGCTCTCGCAGTTCACCTAAATAATAACCACTCCGACTTTAACACGCTAATGATAAATCCGGAGTAATAGATAAATTCGTATATACGGAGTATAGATAAATTCGTATATACGGAGTATATACGAACAGTCCCAAAAATGTGAACAAAGCTACAATAGCCCACATGGAATTGAGGCTGTTTGTCTCGCCACTTGATCCCGTGTTTGATTCCCCATCCAGTGTCGGTGTTTTGTCATTTTTCTCTCAATTCATGGCCGAATTTAAACTAGGAACATATTCCATGTTCGCCAGTGACATGCCTAATAATCAGCTGTGGCGCGATGGTCCAAGCTGCTCATCCATACCCCAAAGTCCAGTGTTCGAATCCCAACTCCAATCTTTTCATTTTTAGATCTATTTCTTTCTTTTCTTAAAATCTCTTCCATTTATTTTGGTCCCAAACTTCCATGTTTATCTTCTGTTCTTGAAATTGTTCTCAATGCGTCCAAATGACCTCAAAATACCTGCAAGCATAGGACCGCTCTACTAAAATAAAACGGAAAATTGACATAAAATGTAAAAATTAATTCAATTGGGACGCAAAACTCCTTCAAAATATGCCTAAAAAGTGTATAAAATATGTGCATATCAAGGTTTTCAAAATCTTAAACTTACCTTTGCTTAAGGTCATCCAGAAACCGAGCTGCGGAATGCTCACTGTCAGGTTGGGAGGTATCCCCAAATGAGTTCCTCTAGTTTGGTTTGTAGATCCCGTACGTACGTTTTAACCTAGGCCACCGAAAATTCATAATTATATCCGCAAGGCCAATTTCTAAGCCATCTTAGAGGTCTTCTAGATAGTCTTAGAAACCAACGTCAACCTAGATATATCTTAGAATTCTTCTAGATATCCTTACAAATCAAATAATTTCATAATCATCAACATATTCATATCAATTCATAATTTAATCTTCAATAATCATTTTAATCAGTAGTTTCATCAAGTCATAATCATCATAATAATCATTTATCATAATCATCAATCAACATAACATTTGATAACAAATAGAGGTCTAGTTTTGAGTGTTAACACTCTAACTTACTGTCATGCATCACATAATGATTTATATGCCTAAAACATCATTTTTGTTATACAAAATCATATTTGTACTGTTCATAATTAATTGTTATCAAAAATAGGATTTTAGAGCATATTTTTAGGAACATTTTCGTAGCAGGATCTGGAAGTGAGGAAAATAATTTAAAATAATCATTTAATTTATAAAAATTGATTTATATAATTTTAAATAATCCATAAATTCAAAATAATCTATTTTTACAATTTAAATAATCAATTAATTCATTATAATCGATTTTTACAATTTAAATAATCAATTAATTCATTATAATCGATTTTTACAATATAAATAATCGATTAATTCATAAAAAATCGATGTTTGCAATTTAAATAATCCATTAATTCATAATAATCGATTTTTACAATTTAAATAATCAATTAATTCATAATAATTGATTTTTACAATTTAAATAATCAATTAATTCATAATAATCGATTTTTACAATTTAAATAATCAATTAATTCATAATAATCGATTTTTACAATTTAAATAATCCATTAATTCATAATAATCGATTTTTACAATTTAAATAATCAATTAACTCATAATAATCGATTTTTACAAATTAAATAATCAATTAATTCATAATAATCAATTTTTACAATATAAATAATCGATTAAATGGTACTGACTTCGAACCACTAATCTGAATAAAATTCTAATCGATTTTTAGTAATTAAATAATCGATTTTCGGCCACTGTTCTTCATCTTCTTCCTCGGGTCAGTTTTAACATTATCATTTTTTAATCACCAAACTTCAATTTAATTATATAAAAATGTTCTCCAATGTTCACAGATCATTTTAGAGTCATTAATTCGTAATTTTAACAACAATTTCATGGTTTATGATTCTTGGTTCTTCAAACATGTCAAACACAAAACTCAACCAAATGACCGCTTATGAACGCAGAAACGATCTATATGAACATTCTAGTCACTAGATATATCTACGGGCTTACCTCGAAGATTAATGGAGGTTTTGAGAACTTTCCGGCAACAATAGCTCTCAACTCCGGCGACCTTACACCAAATTGACAGCACCACTGCGTTCTCCACACTCAAGGCTATCTCCCAGAACGAATTTGATGAAGAATGGTGAAGAAATGGTGAAGTTTTGGTTTCCATTATATAGAAGAAGAATGGAGAAGAGGCCAATGGTTCCTGCGTCACTTCTCTGTTTGAGCGGCTAGTGGAGCGGACGGCGATTTCTTCCCATTTCAAGTCCCTGATTGGGACTAATTNTTTGAGAACTTTCCGGCAACAATAGCTCTCAACTCCGGCGACCTTACACCAAATTGACAGCACCACTGCGTTCTCCACACTCAAGGCTATCTCCCAGAACGAATTTGATGAAGAATGGTGAAGAAATGGTGAAGTTTTGGTTTCCATTATATAGAAGAAGAATGGAGAAGAGGCCAATGGTTCCTGCGTCACTTCTCTGTTTGAGCGGCTAGTGGAGCGGACGGCGATTTCTTCCCATTTCAAGTCCCTGATTGGGACTAATTTGGTCCCAGTCGGGGAACACTTTTTGGTCCAACTTTCTCCGAATTGAATTCCGTTTGCACCATTGCGATCGTATAATTAAACTCTATCCAATGATATAATTTTCATATTTATTTGTAATACTTTTTCTGACATCATATTTTTGGGTGTTTGACTTTGACAGGGTCAAAATTGATTCTGTTGACCTTTACTTAGAAAGGTTTTTACATTTCATAAGTATTATTTATTCTCATGATTTATTTCAATAAATCATTTCAAAGTTTATATCACAAACAAATTCTTCATTTCTTCTTGATTTGGATTTGTACTCAGGTTCCTAATCAAGATCACACAATAAATCAACATGTTGGATTTATCTCTATGAGATTTATCCCAATTATGTTTATTGGATATCAATATATATTTTATTTCAGCCCAAAGCCCAACAACAATTTATTTTAATCAAAACAAATTTTGTTTAATTGAATATTTAATTCAATAAATTTTAGGGTATATTTTGGGGCGTTACAAACATGGAGAAGCCTAACTGCAAACATCCGTCGTGGTAGGTCGTCTACGTCACAGGTCCGCTGCTCCTCGTCTCTTTGTCGCACCATGTTTGCACTTGTCCATCTTCTCAAGCCGTCAAGTATATATTCCCAAATAAAGATTAAATAGGAAGATGTAAAAGTCCAAATCAAATACGTGAAGACATAGTAAAAGGCTTATCAAACACATGGGTTTCCACGTCAATTAAAAAAAAGGGATGCACCAAGATTGAAGATGTGGTGGAAAATTACTAGGTACTCTGTATTCATTATTGGGGTGCTCTCTCTCAAATAGTTGGTGGTATTATATGGAGTAGATTTTAATGGGTGGGCCATCTTCCCATTCAAATTGGATAGCTTTGAACAAAAAAGAAGGATTGAGACAAGAAGCTGCGAAGCACCGGAGGAAGGATAGGGGCTTAGGTATTTTCAAAGTATGGTCCACTAACTGATCATATTGATGGAAGATATGCATTGAACATTACGGAGGGAGAAAAAGGTTCTCCACTTATTTCTCAACGGGGCCCACCACCAACAATTGGTGGAATGGGTTAACATTATGGAGCAATGATTTGGGTATTTGTACATGCCTTTTGGATGAATTCAGAGGGAAGACTGATACACAAGCCGAGCTTGGTACGCTGGTTACAACACCGATCCTGCTCAGTATTTAAAAAAAAAAAGATGAAGACTGAGACATATGCCTGACCTGGCACGCTGGTACTACACCGGTCTTGCTCAGTATAATAAAAAATATTAAAATATTTGACACAGGCCCGGCCTAGCACACTGGTAAAAATCATTCTTGTGCACGAGACAGGCCAAGAATGATATACACTGGTCTTGCACATATTTTCTCGTAATTCTGAACCCAATCGAATTGGGTACACTGGTGTCTCAGCTGAGCTTTTATCGGGGGCGCCCGATTCTTCAAGCCTTTGAATAAGGCACTCTGGAAGTGATCTTTGCATGACATGAAGATATTTGCATCAATTAGCTGGGCTAACATCGATCTTCGACAAAGCTGCTGCAGCGTACTTAATTTGTATTAAGTAGCATCGATCACTTCGATATACTAATTTTGCTATACATCGTTTACTTAATCCGTACTAACATCGGTCTCGACGAAATAACTACTTGAAGTACCGCTGCTTCATCGTACTAACTCCGGTGTCGTATAACTACTCGAAGCATCGTTGCTTTATCGAACTGACATCGCTCCTCTTACGATAATTATTCACGCGAAGTTTAATCACCCTAACATCGAGCTCCTCGGTAAAGAAAATAATTATGTGAGCACGGCATAGACCGTTCAAAAAATAAAAAACGTATTGTACGTATTATTTTTTGCAGGAAATACATCTGATTCAAGAAATTAGAGAATTAATGAAGACTCGGAGGACTAACAATATCAATCGGTCAAGAATGGAAAGTAAGAAGACTGAAGATAGCACTCGGAGGATTTGTTTACTTTTTTAAGTTGATGATTCTCAGAACTTAAAAAGTGGAGGACTTCTTGATGGGAAATAATACGTGGCTCGGCCCACATTGCCCAATTATTTACGAAGAATAATAAAATCGGGCCTGTTTCGTAAAATGAAGGAATAAGAGAATATTTCTCCGAAGATGCTCCCCCTCCTCCCTGTAAAAGAAGGGGTTGTCCTAATTGAGAGAGGATGCCAAATTCACTCTCTCCCCTGCCCATTACACACACTCTCTCTAGAATTCTTGTAGTTTATTTCATCAAAGAGCTCAAATACTCCATTAATGGCTTCTACGCCTAAATTATGTATCGTGCACAATCCCCGATATCAATAAAAATCCCCCGTTGGTAAGGTGCCGCCAAAAAAGGCCCGTGGTTTTCTCCTGGTTTGGGTTTCCACGTCAAAATCCTTGTTTCTATATTTTGGTGTATTTTTTAGACTAGTTTATCGTTTTTGCCCAGCTAAAAGCGATATACCAGTCGATAATTTACACCATCAGCTAGTAAAATATGGTGTCAAGCTTAGAACAAAGAAGCACTTTGAACTTATGTGTATATTATCTTTTTGTATTTATATGAATTGCAATAGTTCAATCCTTAGAGACACCCTGAAATCCAAATATTTGAAATGTGTAATGTACTAAGATGAAAATTCAATCGTCGCGACATTTTCATTTATGCATAAGCTTGTTGAATCTATTATCTCAAGAAAGTAAGCCATGGATTACACTAAAATAAGGGAGGAATGTTGGTGATTTTAGTGTCATCGGCTATTTTCGGTGATTGGGTTTACATAGATCAGACAAGAATTTGAATAGATGTTTCCAAACGAGTTAGAAGGTGCAGAGTGCGCACTCATTCAACGATATTACAAATTCACATCTGGGTCCAGGGTCGGCAGCCCCCGGTAGCAGGGTCTAAGGGGCAGAGCCCCTGACCGGGGTCGAGCTGACTGGATAGCTTGGAAATCTTTTGTTTTGGACGTTATTGCTTTATGAAAATATTTCATATTTTTGTAAAGGGAGTCTGAAACCCTAAAGATTTGGACATAAAGATAAACGTCAAATTGACACAAAATCAAAGGGAAAACTCGCGCAGGCACTTGTGTCCTTTAGCTAAAGTTCGGTTCTCTCCCTGTTGCGCGAACATTCATTTCTTTACGCACACGTTCATGTCTGGTCAACTCTATAAAAGGAGTCGCTGGATATGGTTGAGTGTAATTTTTCGGAAGGCTTGTTCTTGATTAACGTCTTACCCTGTTAAAGTATTTTGGTATATATCCCGGAATAATTTTGATCTGAAAGCGTATTCACGATTCGTTAAACTATCAAGTTTCGATTCTCGTTTTTTAATTCTTCAACGCTTCTTCGCAGCATTCATCTTCCTAAATTTCTAACATTATATGTCCACTGTATATAAACTTATTTTCTGTGTGTTTGTGATATACTTGGTCTGCATGCACTGTACAAATCTTGGTACTCCTAGCACAACCCAAAAGAACCAAAATAGCAAGGCGATGGGAAGAGGGATGAGGCAGTGGCGGCTCTTTGTGCGATGTTCATGGGCGATGAGGTGACAACAATCTGAAGAAATGGAGGACAACTCTAAAAATGAAGAGGAATGCTAAGGGCACTCCATTTGGGGTACCGCATTTTGTACACCAGTCCTTCATTTATTTTTTTATTTTTAATTTTTTTTTCTCAATCTTGTTTTATGTGGTGGAGATGGAGGGGATACAAATGAGGTACCCCAAATGGTATACTCCTAGCATTTTTGAAAAATGAAAGATACACCATAGAAAAGAAGGGGCACGTAAAGAGACGCACAAACTAGCAGAAAGTAACTTCACAAAAAAGAGAAGCCAAATTCCAGATTTTGACCTGAATTTTCATTTGACCACAACTTTTTTGTCAATTATTTGTTGGACCATGCTACAGTTACACCAAAAAATATACCCCATTTATACACCACAGGCTTGCACAAACATTTCGATGGTTTACACCGACACAAGTGTTGGTGCGTTAATAAATATTCACACGGACACAAATGTTGGTGTGTTTAACAAAAATTAGTTTTACACCAACACAAAGTGTTAGTGCAAAACTGCGGGATACAAACCTTGGGGTACACATAGCATAATCCTTATTTGTTTCCAAACAGAAAATGACTTTCTAATTTCAAAAGCACAATTTCACTTAAAAAATAGCCTTCACTGAAACAGAAAAATAGGGTGAATTAAATAAAAAAGAGCCAGACAAAAATGGATCCCCTTGAAGCAGCGGCGGCGGACCCTTCTGAGCCACATCCGAACGACGGCGCAGTCTGCAACGATGATATTCCGCAGCTGAGCTCTCACGCCATCGAAGCTCTCAAGGAGTTCTTTGCCGATCAGAACCGAGCGTTAGCAGAAGAACAGCCGGAGGGGGTTGTAGAGTTGGTGGCGGAGGACTGGAGGCTCAGCCAGTTTTGGTACGACCGCGATACCGCAGAGACAGTAACCAAAGAAGTCCTCACTCTGTGCGAGACACTGGAGACCCCATCTGTTGCTTGCATTTCTTGCCCAACTGTATTCGCGTACCTCAAGGTACAAATTCATTTATGAAAATCATTTTTTTTTTCAGAATGCTGTATCTGTTCACTATGAAAGTCAATTTTCCATAAAACTATTTACAATTTTACATATATTCATATTCCTTAAAAATATTTGTACTAAATAGCACTAAAACTGTTTGTTTCAGCCTCTTAATGGTTCAGATGTCTGAATGATTCAGCACTTAATGGTTCAGACTGTTTGTTTCAGCCTCTTAATGGTTCAGATGTCTGAATGGTTAAGAGATTTGCCTCTGAATGGTTAAGTATTATACAGAGTCTGAATGGTTAAGAGCTCTTATCTGAATTGATCAGACATTCGCCTCTGAATAGTTAAACAATATACTAGCTCTTAATGGTTGAGACCTCTTATTGGTTCAGCACTTAATGGTTCAGACCTCTTACTGGTTCAGCACTTACCCATTCAGAAGTTACCAAACAGCCCCTTAATCATTTCCCTAAATAGCATTTAAATTGTTTTATTCCCTGAATAGCACTTATTAATGTCCATAATGTCCTGTGATGACAAATATTTGCTTGAATAATGACTAATGCATAATGACTAAAAGTACTACATGGGGAAGAAAAACACATGTGTTGCTATTTGGGGAAAGTTATTATGTTTTAGTGCTATTTAAGTAAATTTCTCTATTTCTTAAGGAGTAGTTATAAAATATACGGATACTTAATAAACTTCACTTTTTTTACCTGGTTAAGGCCTTGTTTGGGAAGAGCGTTTTCAATTGGCGTTAACATTTTGGATAAAATATTAACGGTATAGATTAATTCAGAAAACGCTAACGCTAAAGGCTAACGTCGGATAGTCTTTTCAAAACACTAACTCTGATGCCAAACAGGGCCTAAGGATATAAATATCTGATATTTTTTTCTTTAATATGTCTCAACCCAACAACTCCACCCTCTTGAACGTTAAGATTACTTTGGGCAAAGTCTTTGAACAACAAAGATCTAAAATTGATTAATAGGGTATGCACAGACTTTTCATTTTCCCCATATTTCTTTCCTTCCAAAATTTGTCTACATTTTCTTTTTTTCCCTACAATTTTCTGGTTCCAAATGAACCCTTAAAATTTTTTAGGAGAGGACCCGATGTAGAATAAAAAATGGATTAACCCATCATTGAACTAATCATTTTCTTGAAATGCTTCATGATATGAACATTAATCACATGCTTAACTGAAATTTGGTTTTTACTGCTCATGACCTCAGAAAAGTGATCCTAATGTCCAAGCACAGCTCCTTGAGTACGACCAAAGGTTTAGTTCATATGGAACTGAATTCACATTCTATGACTACAACAAACCAGAAGGCCTTCCGTCCTCATTGAAACATTCTTATTCACTCATTATTGCCGATCCTCCTTATCTGGTAAATTTTCATTTGCTTTTTTCAAAATAGTGTTTAATTATGCGTTGAGTGGCTACAATATTTGCTAGGACCATATTCATTGTAGGATACCATATGACCTAGCATTAGGATGGTTTTTGTGCCGACTATAACTCAAGTGTTGATTACAACGAAAAATGTGTTTTTTGACTTGCTTATCTAGGTTTTGAATTGGTTAGGAGTAGATGCTAGTTTATGTTGTCAAAGAATGCAAGACTGTCAAAGAATATGCGAAGCAGAAAAAAAGTATAAATAGAGTAAAAAATGTTATGATGTTTCTCTCCTTGTTTCTCAACTTCTCGTCTCGAATTATTGCATAAACAACGGAAGTGACACAGATTTCTATTAAGAGTCCCACATTGAAATATGGAATATTAAAGAGACATGAGTTTTTAATGCCTTGAAATATTGGGCACATTAAACAAAATGGGGAATTGAACATTCCTTGCCTCTTACTTTCTATGATGTTTTGGACAGTAAATGCAGCAATGCATCAAGTGTGTAACAAAAATATTCGCCCTGTTCTTTACATGGGATTATACTAGGTTTGTTGGTGTTGTTGTACGGTTCTCAGCGTTCACAATTTCGGATTAGCAGATATGTTATTAGTGAGCCAATAAGACTTTAGTGGTTTCATGATATTGTGGTATTGTTTTGCAGAGCCGGGACTGCTTGGAGAAAATTAGTGAAACTATATCTTTTCTTTTGAGACCAGGGCAATCGTATCTACTTCTACTCACTGGTATGGTTGTTGGATTAATCCCAACTTGGAACTTGCTTGTGATTGATTGATTATGATGTGTGTTTCTTACCCCTTTTTACTCCTTCAGGTGAAGTGCAAAAGGACAGGGCTGCACAGCTCTTGAGTTTGCGTCCGTGCAGGTTCAGGCCCCAGCACAGCAGCAAACTTGGAAACGACTTCAGGTTGTTCACAAACTACGACCCTGGGGTGAGACTTGGTGGTTGGGAGGATGAATAAAAGGCATCATTACCTTGGCCACGGATGGAGCTTTTGAGAAGACATTGATTCCAAAGCTTAATTAGGATCATCATGTTCTAGCTCTATGTATTATTTATGCAGCTTAACGAATCAACTCACACTTTGTGGCCACTCGGTGTTTGGAAATCACTTGCGAATTACTACCCATTTAAATTGCCATTTTTTCCCAGATCAAGTCACAGTGTTCTCTATCCGTGTTTCACTAAGAATGCCCAAGATAGATTACTTTTGTTCAGTGTTTAGTTGCCGGTCTTTGGCAAGTCAGAGTCACTATCGCTAGGGGTGGGCAAACGGGTCAAGAAACCGGGAGTTGGAACCGAACCGATAGGTTCGGTCCGTGTTAGGGGCGGGTCCTCTTTTCAAATATTTATAACGGGCTGGGTCGGTCTGGTTCTCCATTTTGAAATTATCCAGGACCCGGATCAGACTGCTTTTTAATACTCCGTATTATTATTAGTAATTACACCGGAAACAACGCCCTTACGAGTTACGCCCTTACCCCTCTTTGTCATTGTTTTGTCTTCATTTAGGTCTCTTTTTTGTGTTAGATGACTTAAAATTGACAATGGAGGTAGTACATTGTTGTGGACTAATGGTGAATGACCATGTATGTATTATTAATTTATTATCACTTTATTTTTTTAAAATTAGTATCATGATAGGTTCGGACTCGTTGACCCGTCGAATCGGCCCGTTTCAAACAAGCCGGGTTAGGTTTGATTTCAACTTTAAAATTTTGAAAACCCGTTTCGGCCCTGTTTAAATAAAACCAAGCTGAGCCCGGTTTATACAAATTTTGGCTTGGACCGGCTCATGCCTACCCCTAACTATCGCTACATGTATGGCTGATCTAATCATATGGCTTCATTCACATTCAGAGCGCTCCCAATTCGGTTTAATTGACCTTGACTAAGGCTTAAAAAGGGAAACCCTTCATTTTTTGGGGGGGGTGGGGGAGGGGGGTGAGCTTATATACTCTGTATAGTAGAGTCTTTTTCATATAGTCTCTAATTTGAAGAAACTAGTATTTGAACCCATGCCATGCACGGGTGGAACGAAATTTTTTGTCGATTTTAAATAAAATTTAATGCAATATTTTTTCAAGAATAAAGAAAATATACTTCTCGCATGATATTTAATATCATAGAAAAAAACCAAAGTGGAATAAATCATATTTGAGGGATTGATTGTGTACAACACAAAAAAAATTAATACCAAATTCTCTGAAAGACTTCATGGTATACAAAAGATATGTTCATTGTTCTTATTATTATTTTAAAAAAAATTAAAAATAAATTTTAAATTTTACCATTTTCTTTTTGTTAAGGAAAAGAATTTGAGTATCATTTCTTTTTTTAAATAAATTTCAACCACATGTTTTTTCAAATTTTTTTCATTAATTTATTAAGTTATTTTTTTAATTTTTGGAAAAGTCAAATTATTATTCGGTTTTTTTCTTTTTTAATATAAATAAGGTATGTGTTATACTAAAAAAATGCATTATTTTTCCATTCATATTTTTGTTGCATTTTAATATACATAGAATACATTTCTGTTTTCAAAAAGATTTTGAAATATCAAATTTATATTATTCAATTTTATTTTTAAAGAAAATAGTGTTTGGGTATGATATATTTTTTGGTTTCAAATAAACATCAGAGTATTTTTTTACATCAATATTATGGTCGTTTATTTTTTTGGTGAATTCAAGTTGCTAGTAGGTTTTTCAATAGTATAGAAGTATTTGAAAAATAATGTTAATCTCAAAGATGTTAAAATTTGAAATGTGCATGAATACTTTTTTATCATTTGTCGTATATAATTTTTATGTTCGTATATAATTTTTTTGCCTTTTAACCTTCGTGGTATAAACATGTATATGAAAACTATTTAAACCTTTTTATCAATTAATATCTTAGAGGCCATCAATTTAATCGGCATCAATTTCTTACTCTGTATATAATATTCTTTAAATTTTACTCAGTTATTACGTGGCGTTGACATGTTAAAGTTTTGCCAAATAGACATGCCAAATGTCGAATTGCTGTAAATCAGAGTCTCCTTTATTATAGTAAAGGATTATTTAATTTAAATATTTTCCAATAAAGAAATAAAATATAAAAGTTTTTAAACTCAATTATGCTGAGAAATCAGTGTTTAACAAATACGAAATTCAATTTCCATAAAATAAGTGTTTTTGTTAACTAATTCTTTAAATATTACTTGTTGACATGGCATGCTGACATGTCAAAAAAGTTGTCTAATAAGCGTTCCACATGTTACAATCTTAGAAGCCCAACTCTCAAATTTTATATATAATGATTTACTTTAGTCCTACTAATCTATCCCTTCTTGGAATAAATTTGTTTGTCTTGATTTTTTTAAATATGAGTTCCTTGTTTAAATACTACGTATCAAAATATATTATTAAATTTTAATATTTTCCGACAATGAAGTAAAATATAAAAGTTTTTAAACGCGATTATGCTGAGAACTCTGTGTTTAACAAATACGAAATTCAATATCCATAAAATAAGTGTTGTTGTTAACTAATTATTTAAATATTACTTGCGGACATGGCATGCTGACATGTCAAAAAAGTTGTCTAATTCCACATGTCACAATCCTAGAAGCACAACTCTCAAATTTTATATATAAAGATTTACTTAAGTCCTACTAATCCACCCCTTCTTGAATAAATTTGTTTGTTTTGATATTTTTAATATTAGTTCCTTGTTTAAAAACTACGTATCAAAATATATTATTAAATTTTAATATTTTTCAATAATGAAATAAAATATAAAAGTTCTTAAACGCGATTGTGCTAAGAAATCTGTGTTTAACAAATACGAAATTCAATTTCCATAAAATAAGTGTTTTTGTTAACTAATTCTTTAAATATTACTTGCTGACATAGCATGCTGACATGTCAAAAAAGTTGTCTACTAAGCATTCCACATGTCACAATCCTAGAAGCCCAACTCTCAAATTTTATATATAATGATAATGATTTACTTTAGTCATACTAATCTATCCCTTCTTGGAATAAATTTGTTTGTTTTGATTTTTTTAATATGAGTTCCTTGTTTAAATACTCTCTACCAAAATATATTATTAAATTTTAATATTTCCCAATAATGAAATAAAATATAAAAGTTCTTAAACGCGGTTATGCTGAGAAATCCGTGTTTAACAAATATGAAATTCAATTTACATAAAATAAGTGTTTTTGTTGACTAATTCTTTAAATACTACTTGCTGACATGACATGCTGACATGTCAAAAAAGTTGTGTAATAAGCGTTCCATATTTCACAATCCTAGAAGCCAAATTCTCAAATTTTATATATAAAAATTTACTTTTGTCCTACTAATCTATCCCTTCTTGGAATAAATTTGTTTGCTTTGATTTTTTAAATATGAGTTCTTTGTTTAAATACTCCGTATCAAAATATATTATTAAATTTTAATATTTTCCAAAAATGAAGTATAATATAAAAGTTTTTAAACGCGATTATGCTAAGAAATTTGTGTTTAACAAATACGAAATTCAATTTCCATAAAATAAGTGTTTTTGTTAACTAATTCTTTAGTCCTACTAATCTACCCCTTCTTGGAATAAATTTGTTTGTTTTGATTTTTTTTAACATAAGTTACTTGTTTAAATACTACGTATCAAAATATATTATTAAATTTTAATATTTTCCAATAATGAAGTAAAATATAAAAGTTTTTAAACCCGATTATACTAAGAAATCTGTGTTTAACAAATACAAAATTCAATTTCCATAAAATAAGTGTTTTTGTTAACTAATTTTTTAAATATTACTTGCTGACATGACATGCTGACATGTCAAAAAAGTTGTCTAATAAGCGTTCCACATGTCACAATTCTAGAAGCCCAACTCTCAAATTTTATATATAAAGATTTATTTTAGTTCTACTAATCTATCCCTTCTTGGAATAAATTTGTTTGTTTTGATTTTTTTAATATGAGTTCCTTGTTTAAATACTACGTATCAAAATATATTATTAAATTTTAATATTTTTCAATACTGAAGTAAAATATAAAAGTTTTAAAATGGGATTATGCTGAGAAATCTGTGTTTAACAAATACGAAATTCAATTTCCATAAAATAAGTATTTTTTGTTAACTAATTTTTTAAATATTACTTGCTGACCTGGTGACATGTCAAAAAAGTTGTCTAATATGTGTTCCACATGTCACAATCTTAGAAGCCCAACTCTCAAATTTTATATATAATGATTATTCTCTCGTTCCGAATTTAAGTTATTGGTTTACTATTTACAAATTTAAACTTTAATTATTCATAAAAAATTACTCTCTCCATCCTAATTTATATTGTCTTTTTTGGCTTACGATGTTTGTTTGAAGTTATTTTTAAAGTATACGTGATTTATTATTCAAATATGAATAACATGATTTTACAAAAGTGTGCTATTTTAGTAAATGAAATGATGAATTTGGAATAAGTGAAATTATACGTGATTTATTATCCAAATTTGAATTAGTAAAAACAAGTTAAACTATAATCATTCAATTCCCGCGATACATATGTGCTTATTATGTTACAATTTTATTGTTATATGTACTACGGAGTATTTAACTTTATATTGAGGAAGTTGGTTATTATTTTTAGGTACACATGCTTAGAATGTTGATCAAGTTGGAGGAAAATGATGAGTTAGAAGTTGGATCAGATGATATAAAGAAAGAAAATACTGTAATAAACAACTAAGTTGTTTTGTGATATGGCACATAGCATGTTTTGTATGAATAAATCTAAGTTTTTGTATGTATAGTTACTCCGATATTAGTAAATAAATTATGTATAATGCTCCAATTTTCAAAGCATCTTAGGCTCTATGAATGTGTTCTCTATTTAATTTTATTAAGGTCTGATTTAATTATAATTATTTAAATGTGTTTATGATGTGATCGAATCTTGTTCTAATAAAATAAATAGAACAATGCTAGGGTGTCACCACATGAGTGTACCCATGTTTCGCACAGACAAACATAGACACAAATCGTCTGTGCGTTACAGACTATTATCGTTTGTACTTGTTGTGCTAAACATGAATACAGGTGGCACCACCGAAATAAATAATAAGAAGTTGGAGGAACCAACTTAAACACCTAAATTGGGTTATGCAACTCATTTTGGGCGATCGAGTCTGTTATTATAGACTTATAGTCCAAGTTCTTTGATAGGGGTTGATCCAGTTTGGTTGATCCAGTTTACTTAAGCAAGATCCGCTTGGATCTGACTCCAGCAAACTGAGCAAACATTCCACTTGAGGAAGTTCTTGCCAATACTGCGAAAGAGAGAGCATTAGTGGAAATCTCGAGAAAACATAGCAGCGAAATGAGACCAAACGTTGTCTCTGAGGTATGCCTCCATTCATGTTTCCTGTCATTTGTACTCCATATGTAACAACGCGTGTGTGTATATTTAGATTTCAGTTTAAACATGCGGAATCTAACTATGTGGAAATGCTTGTCCTTCGGGTTTGAGCGGTTTTGAAGCCCTAGTTTTTTTTATCTGCTGGACTCTATGCGCAGTATTGTCAATGGCGATTAGAATGTTTTAGAGTTTGAGTTCGTATAGACTTGAAATGTACAGCCCATACTCCACTGTAATGTAACCATTAAAACTTGAAATGAGAGTTTGCAATACCTTTTTTTATCCGAATTGGATCACAGTTCCATTGACCTTCATCAAATGCGTTTGTTGGGTGGTAACGAGGTATTGTGACACAATCGTGAAGTCATTAAAGTTATTGGTTCCATAGTACATGCCTACAGTTCCTAATTTGCCTCGAACTTTCATTATTGGGAGGATAGAGGTGAGAATTTAAGAGGAATCTCCATCAGTCTAAAATTCGTGAGAAGTCTCATGGTTTACTTGCTAATTTTATGTTTCTCTTTACATTCATTTTGAAATGCGTTGCTGTTAGTCCAAAATGTAATTTTCGAGAATCTTATAAATGACAGTGGGTCGATTAGAGACTTGTTATACCTTAATTTTAAAATCCCAATGATCTTCTAATTTGTGCCAAGTGAAGAGGTAAGTTAGTAAGTACGGAGTACTATGCAGCATAGGGAACCCTGAAGGTTCCACATTGCCTGTTTTGTAATAGTGAATTTGCCTTCATCCAATTTTGAGATGAACTATATCACATTGATCCCAAACATCCTCTAATTAGTAATTTAGTTTTATTTATTTATTCATTTATTTATTTTATTTTCCAACCATTATACATTTATACTCACTGTGTAGGCGGGGTTGCAAACAAGGTTGAGCAGTTGGTGGGAAGGCATTCCATTCTTGACGTCTACTGTTGTTATTAGTTGTGGGGCTATTTACATGGTTTGCCTTTTGATTGGGTATGATTCATTTGCTGGAGTATGCTTCTCGCCATCAAAAGTAATTTCACATTTTGAAGGTATGTATCTACGGATATGCTCAAATGATCTATAATAATGAGAGCTCCTTGTGACATAATAATATACACCCTCCATCTATAAAACAATTTTGTGTTGCGCGTTATGCAGTTATTTGTAATTTGATTTACTTGAAAATTTGTGTATAATTTTAAATTTAAATTTATATCTTTGAGAACTACAACAAAAATTTCACAAAACAAGGGGTGACATGACTATATTATTTTGTAAACTGAGTTAAATAGAGTAATAGACAAAGAAAGAGGATGTTGACCTTGTGGATAGAGTGATCAAGAAATTCTTTTTTTGGATAGAGGGAGTAGGATCTTATGAGCTACCATATTGCTAAGATGTTCATAAGAGAATTTATAACATTTGAAATCATAACAATGGCTTATCTAAATTCGTTTATAATTTTTTCTTCTAACACCTTTTTGTGCCCTTTTTAAATTGAATTGAGAGTTTTTTAAGGAGTACTTTTGAAATTCATATTAATAGTATATATCTGTTGACACAGTTGACATGCTTGACCTTGAAATGCACATGTATTGGTTTAACATGCTTTGTTGTTGTGTGCATTATACATTTCTATATGAGCTGCTACACTTAATCTATCCAACCGAACTTCTGTTGTTTGGAATTTTGTGACCTTTGGTCATACTCATTAATGCAACGAAACAAAACATATATAAAGTAAATGCTTAACCACCTCTTAAAAATATACATTGTGTGCTTATTTATTTATTTATTTAAGAAACATTCTGAATGTCAACCTAGTCTAGCATAAAGAGGTTGGAGTGCTTATTGGAGGTAACGGACTATTATTAATATTTGTTATGGTGAACAATGTCTGCTTAAAGCTATAATTTCTAATTCAAATATTCATTCAATGATTTACCTAGTTTCATAACCTGTTTACTCTCATCATCAATGTTAAGAGCAACTGAAAACTTAGTATCTTTAAGTGAGCTACTCTAATGGCCCTGAGGTGTGGGATATATCCAAACGGCTGATTGGAAGCAACTAGATTAATCTAGGCATTTCTCCCTTTGATTCCTCTTAGCGATCACTCTAATGTAATGAATTTTGTAGAAGATTTGAGAAAATAGAATGTTCTGTTCATATCTCAAATCTCAAATAAATGAATACAACATCGATATCACCACAGATCGACACATGCATTGTAATCAAAGTGACACATTTTTCAAAACCGCCTAAAACTCTCACACAGCCCCACTCCCTTTCAACTCCTTCAAAACGCCCCCAAAGATCAACTATAAAACTCCCAAAACATCTACTTCAAAATCTCTATTCCATACTCACAAAAAATATGATGTGTGATTGAAACAAATAAATTGCTTTTTTAACGCATTTTAACATCCCTAATAAGAAAAACCCTCAAGTGATTTCTAAGCTGCCCTTGGCTTTCCTTCTCATTGCATTTTTTGTTTTCCGAACAAGGCATGGGATTTTTACACCAAAATAGTAGCAATAGCGACGACTCTGTCTATGTAAATTTTGAACTTGAAATAGTCTTTTTGCTACAATATAGGTGAGTGGGTTCAATTTTAATCTAAATCTACTCCCTCCGTCCCATAAAAGAGTGATATGCCCCTGGCCAACCCTACTCCAATTTGATTATATTCTCAAATAAACCCCTTGCCTAGTTTTCTACCCATGGCCGTAAATCAAAGAGTAGAATAAAAGCACCCATATTTCATGATTAATAATCATTGGTGTCTTAAAAGTCTTCACAACAGTTTACCTTCCAAGACTTTGTCATTCTACCTCACTGCTCACATAGCTGAATTTTACCCATCAAATACGACCTAAAACAATGTCTTAACATTGTAAGAGCCTGTTCTTTAGGACTAGAAAAAAAGAGCTGGATGTTGGAAGAAACTGGAAGAAATTGGAAGGAACTGGAAGGAACTGTAAGAAACTGGAAGAAACTGGAAAAAACTGGAAGGATCTGGAAGAAACTGGAAAAAATTAAAAAAAATCTGAAAAAACTAGAAATATTAGAAAATCTAGAAAACTTTTTAAATTTTTTTTGTGTGTTTTTATATTATTCTCATTCTATCTCTTGTTGTTAATTATTATTATTATTATGGCTAAAACAATGTCTTAACATTGTAAGAGCCTGTTCTTTAGGACTAGAAAAAAAGAGCTGGATGTTGGAAGAAACTGGAAGAAATTGGAAGGAACTGGAAGGAACTGTAAGAAACTGGAAGAAACTGGAAAAAACTGGAAGGATCTGGAAGAAACTGGAAAAAATTAAAAAAAATCTGAAAAAACTAGAAATATTAGAAAATCTAGAAAACTTTTTAAATTTTTTTTTGTGTGTTTTTATATTATTCTCATTCTATCTCTTGTCGTCGTCGTCGTTGTTTTTGTTGTTGTTGTTGGTGTAATCACGTTATTTTGATGAACGCATTTAAGATAAAAAAAATATTTTTATATTTCATACAAAAAACTACTTTTGAATTTTTTTTAAAAATAGAATATAAAATTAGCATAAATATCAAAACCTTAAATACTTAAAAGTTATTATGGCTATGCAGTATTTATCATAAATTAATATATTTGCAATTATATTCTATATATTACAAGATTTTGTTTTAAATATCAAACATGTCACATAATGTAATCAAACCTATTTTTTCTTTAAGGATTGACATTTTATTTTTATTGTAACTCTACTTCTCGAATAAAGACATAGAACTTTTTTTATATATTTTTATGTTTAACTCCTACTTTAGTCATTTTCTCTAAAGTACTTTGACTTTCAAATTTTTTTATAAAAATTAGAAAAATGAAAAACAAAATTATTTTTTTAAATAAATAAAAAAGAGAAAAAATTGAGCAATAAAGTATAATTTTTTTTGTATTTATATAAGTTGACTTTCAAAAGTACAAATTTTTTGTTAGTTTTATTTTAATTATTGGTGATATTATTTGTTATCTAAATTTTTTTTTACACTTTTTGGGTAATTTTTCTTTTTCAAAATGTATTCTCTCTTGGTTTTCATAATGTAGTACTCCCCACCCCCATTTCATTTTTATATTTTAGATTAAAATATTGATCTTTACCTTATATAAGTTTAGATTAAAAAAACATTCTATCTAACTATTTTATCCATAATTTTTTTTATAAATATTTTAAAATATTGATGTTTTCTTATTTTATCATGTAGATTAATATACAAAGAAATAGTATTATTCATATTAAAAAGTTGAAGAAAAAATAATAATGAGTGTGAATCATAAAAATAGTGAGATGGAAAAAATGAAATAATTTATAAACTATAGTTATGAACATAATAATTGTAATAATAATAATAATAATAAGAATAATAACATATTGTTTTTAGAGTGATTTGTCGGAAAGTACAAAGAGTTTGAAGAAAATAAAAATAGTTGGAAGAAACTGGAAAAAACTGGAAGAAACTGGAAAAAACTTGAAGAACTGTAAGAAACTAAAAGAAACTGGAAAGAACTGGAAGAAACTCGAAGTTAAGAGTTCAAGCTCTAAAGAACAGGCTCTAAGTAGCTCCTGGTGTAATTACCTCATCCAAATAAAGAAGAAGACATTATAAAACATCTACTTTGATTTTTGTGTACTAATGTTTTCTTGTTATAGCTTTATTATACCAACATTAGGCAATTATTCTACCAAATAAAACCCATGTTCTATCCCAAAATCTCCTAGACGGATTCCCTTTGAAGAGGATCAACACATGGTTACTTCTTTGACTTATGGGCTCAACATATAAAAGACACTTCCCCTTCATTCAAGGAAATATGTCCTCTCCATGATTCACCAAGCATGTGGCGTGTGGAATAAAGCCAAAAGTCTTCACCATTTCTTTTATTTTTCTCCACGTAAAAATTAAAATGTTTCCCTCTTCCCCCCCTATAAATACCACAGTCAATTGGCTTTGTACAAATCAAATTTTAATGAATGAACAAACTTGTTTCACTCTTTGAGTAATTCTAAAAATAGTGTGAAGCTATTTTGTCAAAATTTCTAATTCTATATCTTAAAAGTGGTTTTTTTGAGTGTGAGTTTTAGGTTCTAGATATTTAATTAGGTGAGATTCTTAATTAAATTCTAGACTTAATCCTAAATAAGATTTGAGTGTGTAATATCTCATATTCAAGCTTATCCATTGGTTTCCTAATGAAATATCTTATAAGTGCGTGTTAAGAGTCTATATTTATACATTAGTAGTGATTATTATTGTATAGGTGGAGATAACAAGCCTCAAGTTAAGATAAGAGTGCATATATCTCTTAACATTGACCGAGATTTATCCCTTCCTATTATTCTTCCATTTTTCCACCTCCCCCATATTCTCTCCTAACTCTCTTATTTCCTCTAATCCTCTCATAAAATAACAAAAAAAGAACTCCTAAAACACTTAGGGACATAAGATTAGAGTAATAGGGTAAACATTGGGTAGACCTTTGGATCCTAATTTGTAGTTTGCCTCAGTGTGTAGCTTGTGCTTATGTGCATTCATTGCTTTGGGTCTCGCTTCAAGTGTCAGTATATGTGCTTCTTGTCTATGCACTCTGTTATTTTGCCCGTGTTACTTCATTTACTTTGCATGTGCTTCTGTGTTTTAGTTGGGGGTCTCTTAGAAATAATCTTTTTACTTTCGAGTAGTGGTAAGACTTATGTACGCACACCCTCCCCTCATCCTACTTTTTGTGGGATGTTATTGAATTTTTTGTTGTTATGGTTGTTTTGAAATGCTTTCAATAGAGAACAAAAACTATTTAAAATATGGGGAAGGTTCAAGTGACATTGGTGGGCAATGTCATGGGATGACCCGAGGGCACTCCGGTGCTCTGTTCGTAAAATTGACGGTTCCTACCCCTCCTAACTCCCCCGGTAAACCCCCCACATGGCCCCGACCCGAACACCCCCCCCACCCCTTTCAATTGCACCCCACAAGTTGATTTTGACTTTGGAGTCAAAATTTGACTCCAAAGTCAAAATCAACTTGTGGGGTGCAATTGAAGGGGGTGGGGGGGTGTGTTCGGGTCGGGGCTGGGTGGGGGGGTTTACCGGGGGGGTTAGGAGGGGTAGGAACCGTCAATTTTACGAACGGGACACCGGAGTGCCCTCGGGTCATCCCATGACATTGCCCACCAATGTCACTTGAACCTTGGGGATAAAATATATTTTTGTTTCTCGAGATAAAATGAATTCAATAGTAAGAAGTTTTATGTGAACCGCTATGTCATATGGAGCATAGGGGTGGGTGGTGAAAACCCATGTTTGTGAGCTTTAAGTAGCAGAGATAGGGATTATGTGGTGGATGTATGGTCATACAACTATACGAAGATGGATACGATTTGGAATGAGGTTATTCAAAAGAGGGTGGGAGGTATATGTTGAAGATAAGGTGAGTAAATCTAGGTTGAGGTAGTTTTGGCACGTAAGGAGAAGTGTTGAGGGGTTAGTGAGGAGGTGCGAGATGCTTGTGATAGTGGGTGTGAGAGGGGGTAGAGGTAGTCCTATGAAGAGTTGGAACGAGGTGATTGGATATGACCTTTGACTTCAGGATCTCATCAAATAGATGACCTTAAAAACATTTGGAGATCTAGGACTAGACTAGTTGGGTAGGCATTTGGGCCTTTGTAGTTTATGCTCATGTGTTTTTACTTTGGCGCATGTGTGCTTCTTTTCTTTGTCCTTTTACTTGGACTGTACCACTGTGTTTACTTATGTGCTTATGTGTTTGAGCCGAGAGTCTTTTGGAAACAACTTTTCTACTTTCGGGTAGGGGTAAGGTTTGCACGCACACACCCTTCTTGCACTCACTCCCTTCCCACACCTTTTCTACTTTCGGGTAGGGGTAAGATTTTTTATAATGAAAAGATTGAGAGAATAAAAACCCACATTCTTACATGATTTTAAGACATAAATAACGAGATAACCCTTTTGAATCTTAAACTTGACATTGAATATTGATATCATCTCATTCATTTCGAACCGTTCGAACTTGTTTGTCATTTATCAAAACATGTCAATAAATCACATTTATACAAAAAGAGGTTTGGGTCCAACAATATACCTCTTTTTGATAATGACAAACATATGAATATATCCACAAGAGGAATAAAGAAATAGAAAACTTCAATGTTTGAGTATCAAAACTCAAATAGATTTTAGAGGAGTATTTTTGTAAATAATTTGACATCATTCCCCATAAAAATATGCATCTATACATGACGAACACGAGTATATCCATGTCTGTTCCAAAACATCGTGGTCTCGTTGATAGTGTCATATTCCATTTAGGACGATAAAATTTTGTCCCAAACCCACTCGATTAAACCAGAAGTGGGACCGGGATGACTTAAATTTGCTATCGGCCCGTGCCCACCCTTAGGGCTCATGCAGGATCAAGTCAAGCGTGCCGAATAACAAAAGAATCACCTAATGTGTTTATTACTCCACCCCCACCCCCTTTGGCATATACCATTAGCCAAAAAATGTAAAGCCATAAAAGTATTACTACGTACTTATAAGCAACCAAGATAAAACTTCATAAGTGCAATATATACAAAGTTAGTCCAAGAACATAATACATTACATAATCCACAAAAGTGATGTCCAAAATCACAACTCAAAATAAAATGTCAAAGGTCATAACTAAAGGAAGGGATTGAGAATGGTCTTTTTAATTTTCTTGAAGGGGTTCCCTTTGATGGTAGTGATGGAAAATTGGGTGATGCAAAATCATTTTTTGTGTTTTGAAAAGGTTTCAACAAAGAACAAAAACTATATAAAATATTTTTTTGTTACCCAAGGTAAAAGGATTTAATAAAAGGACTAAAATCTGGGTAAACAATATTTTTAAAGGATTTTTTACAATGGAAAGAATGAGACAATAAAAATCCAGGATCTTACACGATTCTAAGACTTGTAAAATAACGTGATAACTGAGTCTTGAATCTTGAGCTTGACGTTGAATTTTGATATCATCTCATTGACTCTGGATCCTTAAAAATTATTGTCATTTATCAAAACCTATTAAGAATTCACGTTTATACAAAATGAGGTTTGGGCTCATGTAGTCCAACATTGTCCTCACGGCGATAGGGTTTCTTTGCAAAATATTAGTTAGTGATCGTAACAGAAAATCAGTTGTAATTGCTAAGTGCTTACATAAAAGTGCTGTAAAAAAGGCTAAAAATAAGTTGAGATTTGAGAACAGGTTTTTTGTTGAAATGAAGAGGTGCAAAAAGTGAGGTTTGTTTTTCCACATCTCAATCATTTCAAAAATCCACATATATACCCTCACAATGGCTCCCAAGGTACTCTACCTTGAAGGCTATAAACACATGTAATAATCAGATATCACATATCTCTATCACATCAGCTCGTTAGGATACTCTCACATGTTTCTCAATGAGAGGCATTCAAGTAAATAGTTACATTTTGAAAGTTCTGGCAAGTTGCTTCTTTGCAGACGTTTTGAGATGCACCCCAACAGTGTTCAGGTCGAGATGTTAGGATTGACTCACAAACTCATTGCGAGATAAATTATGAACTAATAGATCAGGCCAAATTGTGGCCTTGATACTATGTTGAAATAAAGGAGAGGACTGTTTTTCTATATAGCAATCAAATGATTATGGAACCTATATGTACACGTGCATTAACTCCTAAGGTACTCTGCCTAGAAGGCTAGAATACATCAAATGCCCACTTAGAATAATAGAATTCCTGCACATCTATCACATCAACTCTTTAGTACCCTCCCATGTTTCTCTTTGAGAGGCATTCAACTCAAATATAGCTATGTTTTTTAAGATTTGCTGCAATAACTGAACAGCTGCGTTGTTAGCTGGGAATATACGCTAACACGTTTTTTAATTTTTTTCCTTGCAGTTTACAGGATCTTTACATCTGTTGTTTTCCATGGTTCTCTGTTGCATGTTCTATTCAATATGTTAGCTTTCGTTCCATTGGGATCTGAGTTAGAGAACATTATGGGATCAATCCGCCTTGTCTACATAGTAGTTTTATTGGCTGCAAGCAATGCTGTGATCCATCTTCTTATTGCACTAGCTATAGCTCATAATCCATTTCACTCCTATCCAGATCTAATGAGTGAGTGTGCTATAGGTTTCTCGGGGGTTCTGTTTTCTATGATTGTGATAGAGACAAGTCTAAGTGGAATTCAGAGTAGAAGGTTTGTCACAGACTCACAGTTCTTGATACTTTATTTATTTATCCGATACAATTGTTGTTATGGTTCCTTGATCTTCCTTAAGCTAGTACCATATTTTGCATAATACCTTTCTATATATAGTTGTTACAAAAATATAACAAGGCGTGTCTGTTTTAACAATTAGTTTGGCTGGACAAATGATATCTAGGATATAAGAGTACATTTTTTGGCATAGAATATATAAAGTTTGCACACATTTATGCTCTCCAAGTGCTTACATATTTTCTAATTAAAGTTACTATTTTTTTCAACAGTGTATTTGGACTCTTTAATGTTCCGGCTAAATGGTAAGCCACGCTATTTCATCCGCATTTTGCTGCCTTCCCTAAAGACATATATACACATGTTTTTCCCCTTCTGAAGAATCATGTCTGTCTTCTTAACCACTTTTTAACTGGATTATTATGTGCTAGGTATGCATTCATCTTGCTAGTTGTTTTTCAGCTTCTTATGCCAAATGTGTCATTACTTGGGCACCTATCTGGTATTTTGTCAGGATTTGCATGTATGTTACTTGTGCCTGTTCGGATCTTTCTCTAGTTTCAAGTATCCTTCACAATATGACGTTGCTTATAAGACCTGGCACTATAATCTCTCTCATGTTAAACTTTTTTTCTTTATTTGGCAATATCAGATACTAATGGTTTCTTCAACATTCTAATACCTGATACATCCTGCTTTTCAGCAATTGAATCTTCCTCATGGCTTGTAAGTAAAACTGCCCATCCACCTGGAGGTTAATTAAAATTGACTTTTTCATCTTGACCACTCAATGTTTATGATAGATGGGGGTGGGCTTGCTGCATACACTTTTAGCTGCAATGTCCCATATTGGAAATTCATAAAATAAATGTATTGTTCGTGAAATCATAATAAATATTGACACGAGTTAGGAGGTTTGAAGTACACGCTCATTCAATAATATTATGATTTCAAGTGCTTAGGAGCGGGCCCGTGGGCGGCAGGCCCAATAGCGGGGTCCAAAGGGCAGCAGTCCCTGGTGGGATCTGAAGGGCAGAGGCCACAGCCCCTGATTAGTGTTTCCTTATGGAAATTCATCAGATTTTTGTAAACGCCTTCCAAAAGGTAGACGGAGAGACTGAGGTATTCGAATACTATAATTAGTATTTGACTAGTTGAATACTCAATGTAACTTCGAGCAACTTTTCACAAAACACCGCCAGTATTAGAATACTCCTTGAGTATTCAAATGCTAAAATTCTATAACCGATTCTGGAGAGTCTGTGATGCTTAAGTATTTGAATACAACACGGAGTATTCAAATTTTCAACTGCCAGAAACGATTTTGGCAGGTCTGGGACACCCCAAGTATTCGAATACTTCCCGAGTAGATGTGTTGGTTCGTTCCAACAGATAAGTTTGGTAGGACTTTCTCCATATATGTGGAGGCTTTATGGTATGTTTGATTTACAGAAGATAACGTACTCGTTCTAGAACACTTTTTCTTATCCGATTAAAGAATTTTGGAATACCGCGAAAATTACTTTAATATGAAAGTGTTTTTACGATTTTTAGGCTATATCCCGTTCTATTTTTATACCCAAGTCCTATTTTCCAACATGCTCCCCCCTCATTCCAACCTTTATTGCCTGCCATGTTCATGTCTGTGCTGCTTTTTTTAATTTCTTGATGCAGTCAGCTTGCATGAGGAGACCAAAGTTTATTATGTGCACCGGTAATGTTTCTGCTCACCTTCCATTATATTCAAGTCAAAATGCAACCTCAAGGTATTCTAATTCTGTTTCCTGAGTTTCCTATGTTGTTTTTCTTTGCATTTATGTATTTAGTTCTATTGTACTGTCTACTTTTTGTTTCATGCTAGAAGTGGATTGCACTTTGGAAATATGTGGAGGAACTTCTCATCATTGATGCCACAGAGAGGAAATTCTCTTTCGGCTCCGGTACAAATTTATTGTGTTTTTTTGCCAAGCGTAGAAAGAGTGGCGAAGTGGCCTTAACTTCCTAAAACATGATTAACGATGAGAGTTTGGCATTGGGTCATTGGCTGAAGAAGTCATCTTTTCTGTTTTGTTTGCGTGGTAGTAAGTTAATGGGAATCTGGGAGGAGTATAGATATGCGAATAAGGAATGGTGCATAATTGGATTGATATATGACTCACAAGTTTAAGGCAGAATAAGTTTTAAGGAAAATGTCTGTCCATATTTTAATATAGGTTGCTCTGCCTTGTAGTGTGTTAAGCTCCTCACTGCTGTCATCATAGTTTGTAAGGCGTCGCCTAGGCGGTAAAGGCGCTGTCCCTTGGACGCCTAGTCTGCTTGCCTCGCCCAGAAAACCTTAACGCGTTCAGGCGCTCGCCTAGGCGTCGCCTTACTCTCGCCTTGACGCCTTGGGCCCCTTTAAAATTTTGAAAAGCCCAATTTTTTAGTGCAACCCAATTATTTTGAAAGCCTAATTTAAAATGTTTAAAAATATTTGACTTAAACTTGTGATATGTATGTATGTATGGATGGATGGATGGAGGGAGGGAGGGAGGGAGGCATAGTTGTGAATGGCGCTCGCCATTCTCGCCTAAGGCGCCTATGGCTGTGTGGCGACCATGTGACGCCATCTTCAGACCTGGCGAGGCGTTTTACGCCATTCTCGCCAATGGCGGTCGCCATGGACGCCAGACTCTAAGTCGAAAGGCGTTCGCCATCTACGCCAGACGCAGGTCAAGGGTTTTTTAATTAAAAACCTTGACTTTTTTTTAAAACGCGCTGACCTATATCTTGATCGAAACACTTCATCGATTCAACTGCCTCGCCTCTGCCTCTGCCCTCTCGCCGTCGATCGAATTACTCCCCAGCCGATGCAGCCTCCTGCCCTCCTCAAGTTCTCCTCAGCCGGCGCAGCCCCTCCTCTCTCTCCCGAGTCCGAACAGCGCACATCTTCGTAGACTCAGAGCCGGCACAAGTAAAGTCCTCTTCGCAGGTCACACTCAGACTTTTGTTTTTGTTTTCTACTTTTCTTGTTTTTATTGGAATGGTTATTGTTTCTTTATTGTCTTTATATTCTTAATTTCTTATAGATATAATTTATTGTCTTTATTTTCGCTATTTTCTATTTTTTTGTTTTCTACTTTTCTTATTGTTTTTTTTGTTTTTTGTTTTAACTTTTACAATTAACTCATGTTTTACTTTGATAATTATGTTTGATACAAAGTTAAGACTAAAAGTTTAGACTTAAACAATATATATATATATATATATATATATTCATTTATTTTTTATTTATTTATATAATGTTCGCCATTTGACCGCCCGCCGCTCGCCACGCTTCTCGCCATAAAAAAGAACCTCTCGCCCGCCACTCGCCATTCGCCATTCACAACTATGGTTTATTGATTCGTTATGTTTACTCATTGCATATTTCTAATATTGTGCATTATCAACATCGCAACAATGCATTTATACTAGAACGCAACACATTCTCATACCTAAGTAAAATGCAAATAAATTGACAAAGTGTATAATATACGCATATATATAGTAAAAAATCAAAATGCATAGTTTTACTGCATATTAACAGAATAAAACAAAGACAATGCATTGAGCACAGTTACCTGCTGAATTTAATTTCTTATCTTTCAAAGACAATGCATTCTATAATTGCGCAATCTCACAATAAAGTTAATGCATCTCATGGTGAAATTCTCTTTGCACAAGTATGATGCACAAATTTATCGTAGATTGTGAATTTTCTAAAAATGTTGATATATTTAAAATGTTCAGTGATACATTTAAATATGGGTTAGGCACACAAATGCAAATTTTAAAAGATNGAGGGATGGAGGGAGGGAGGGAGGGAGGTTAATTTGTTATAGAACTAATATGCATTTGCCATTTCACATTCATATTCACAAACTATTTTCTTTGTCTTTAAATGCTTTTTCTGTTGCTTTCCGAGTCTATAGGTAGCAGTTATTGTTCTTAGACAGACCAATTATTAGCTTGTTAAAACTCATTTGTTTAAAATACAGTCCATACAGGATGACAATCGATTCCCGGGAGCTGGAAGGACCCTGGGTTCTGGTCTAAATCGAGCTGTTTCTACTGCAAGTCCTGATTCAAATTTAATGGTTAGTCTGCTAGAGAATAGCAGCAGCCAAGAGCATATGTCTTCCCCAATACTTGATGGACAACAGAGACCTCCACCTGTAAGGTATTAGGAAAGCCTCGTTGCTATCTTTTTCCAGAGTGAAAAATTTCCTTCTAGTGCCTTAACCTCTTTGGTATGTGCTCTGTTTTAATCACGTCTAGTATGCTTGCCTCTCTTGGTGGAAAAGATTAATTTCTAGTTTGCAAGACTGAATGTTATTTTAAAGTATGAGTATATTCTCTTAGAAGTGGAGGCATAGGACACAAGGAATCTTAATTAAAGCGTTTTATAACCTGAAAAGTGTCACTGCTATCTTTTGAAGCTAACAGTCTAATCTATGCAGTTAGCTGACTCTTCTTTTGCCATGTAGCTGATATATTTGGTCTGCTCTTTTTTTCCATAAAAGATGCGAACATTGCGAAGTATTGCTTATTTCATAGATTTATTTGTATTTCAATGCCGCAGAATAATTTGGCTCTGAGTTCTGTTAGTGTATATCTATAATTCAGAAACCATTCCTAACTCAATATTGCTCCAAGTTTCAGATCAGAAGCAGATAATACAGCTACAGCTGCAAGAGTGCAAATTCATCAGGTAGTATATGAAGGAATAAGTTGCGTTGCAAGATAAATTAATAAATACAGTATCTTTCCACCTAAGTATTTCTTAGGAAGATCAGTGTATGTGACTTTATCTCTATACCAAAATAGGGCCGTGCTCCATCAAGGGAAGACATTCAAAAGCTTGTTACGATGGGTTTTGATAAGGTAGACATATCGATCTGATTGCTCTCTTCTTTGGGTGTCAAATAAGGGCTTGGATGTGTTTTCAATCCTTGCAAATAAACGTTTTTTTAGTCCTTGTAAAATTATATACTTCAGTTTACGTTACTCTTATTTTAGTTCATCTCCCTCTACAGCAACCTCCTTTAAACAATAGTCGACGTGACTCATAGAACTACACTTTAAGTAACTTATTGGTGGAGTTAGGGTTAGCCTTGGGTGAAACTAAGCATTCCAATTTTCAATATATGCCACTATGACTCTTGAAATATATTCTCCGTCCCGGATTAATAGTTCTCATTTCCTCTTTGGGACTTCCCAAAAAAATAGTCGTCTTTCCACTTTGGAAAAGTTTGTGACTCATTTTCTCTCCTCTGTATCACTTTCAACAACACAGTTTCATTTTTCTTAAGCTCCGTGCCAAACCAAATGTGGACTATTAGCTAGGGATGGAGGGAGTAGTATTCTGTGAAAAATTGATTTAGGAATGGAATTCTATTAGGTACATCAGTTTTTTTAATTTTTATTTCAAATTGAGGTTGATGATGAGTTGGAGAGGGACTAAAAAGAGGAGAATTTAAATGGCAAGGATGAATTGAAATAAATTTAGAGGAAAAAAACAAAAAAACACTAATTGTGAGGACTAAAAACTTATTTAAGCTTCAAATGAGTTCTTTTATTTTGCTCTCGGTGCCAACAGTTTTTCAAAATAATACTTTTGCTAGACACAAGTTGAAATTGCAATAGCAGCTGCAGATGGAGATTTGAATGTCGCCGTGGAGATACTTATGACTCAAAAGGTAAGTGTCTCAAGGTTTATGGTTCTATTACTATAATCTGGTAATACATAGCACGATTTTTAAGATTATAACACTTTGTATGCCAATTGACAGGAATAGTTTGATGACAAATATGACTGAATCAACTACATCAACTGAGTTCTTCTAATGCCTACAATAGTACCCAAGTGTACCCCTGTTCCCGCCCTGCATTGTCTATATATGCTTTCTTATATTTGTCTTTTGTCGAGTATACTGAATTGAGACATGCCAACTTAGGTTGGAGTAGTCATTCCCCAAACATCTCATCAGCAACCTGGTAATTGGCCTATAGTTGGCTCAACATCTCAAAGGGTTTTAACCCTTTTACATGATGGGGGGGGGGGGGGGGGNCCCCCTCTTTCTGATGACCCCTCGACCACAGTCGTCGGTGACAGCTGCCCCAATCTGCAGCTCAAAAAAAAGTGACCAATCGCACGGTATAACGGGAACTTGGTATATATTGGCTTTGTTTGGGAACAATGTTTGCGTTTTTGGGTAACTTATTAATGGTATATATTATTTTTTAAAATGCTAAATAGCGTTTTCAATACACGGAAATAGTTGTCAACACAGGTAGTCAGGTACATAAGAAATCAATATTGAAGCTTAAAGAAAATGAATCATATTCGATTTTTCTCTCTTTTTTAAGAAATTATTCTTGTTAAATTGATTCTTCTAGAGCTCTAGTAATTTATTTAGCAGTACTCTTAATTAAATCCTATAGTTGGCCCCAAGCATGAAGTGAATTGTGTTGGATTATCTATCATTCACGATCCTATTGATTTGAAAATAGGCGTTCACATGGAGAAGTTAATGTCACAATCTCGAGGTGTTCGGTCATCCAAAAAATTTGTGCAACCCGACTACCCATAGCGACATTTTTTCTTATGAGTGAGTAAAGCAAGCAAGTTTTGCCTCTGAGATGACCGAGATATTAAGTAAGGCATGACCAAGAAATTGACAAGTGTCACTTGTGCTCTTTCTCTCTCTATTCTACATCTTCCAAAGTCTGCATCTCTAAAACCAACGATATTGAAGTTCATGGTTTTAGCAAACCACAATTTGAGATTTGATGGCCTTTTATGCACCAGATTATGTGTTTGACTGCTGAAAGAGGCAACTCTTATGGAGAGGATTGTTGATTGATAGTGGGCACAAAGACAAACAAACAACATAATGTTTAGTCTTTATGGGGTAAGATAAAGAAGACATTTGGTCATACTTTTTCGTCTACGCTTTTTCCCACGCCACCTTTGTCAAGTTTGATGCTTTAACTGCTCATCCCTATAGTGTAGGTTTCGGAGTTTTGAAGATCGAACTTTTTTACGAGCTCTTTGAATATTTGGATTGGCAAATGACAATGTGATAGCACAGTTTCGTTAATGCTTTTCTTGTATTTAGTGTGTTTTCATATTAAAATTAGTTATTATTTATATTAAATTTATTTTTTATATTAAAAAGTATAGTGTTATTTTTCAAAATGCATCGCAAAAATTACTCCCTCTGTCCTAAAACTTTCTACCCAGAGCACTATTCCAACTTCACAGGAGTTTATACTTATTTGTGTTTTTTCATGGCCTATATGATAAAATAAAATATTCTTGTCACCACTTGTTTTGTTGAACTTGTGATGTAGTTTTTAAATATGTATGTTTTATTTTTTATTTCTATACCAATATTTAAATAAAATAGATTGAAAAAACTTGGGATTTTTCTTCGTTTTGCGCAACGGAAAGAAAGTTTTAGGACGGAGGGAGTAATATTTTAGCAATTATTACTCCCTCTGTTCCTATTTAAATTGTCTGTTTGACTTTTTTCTCCGTCCCAAAATAAGTTGCCTGTTAGTTGTTATCGTAAATTTTTAAAAATAATATACATAAACTACCCTTAAAATAAGTCACTCTTCTTCATTTTATGTTCTAATTCATAGTCACCCCTTCTAAAAAATAATGACAATTTCGAAAAATCAATTTTATTTTTTCTTTTCCTTAAATATGCCTAAAAGTCAAAACAGACGATTTAAAACGGGACAGAGAGAGTATGATTTTGGTAGATTTTGAGTTACTTATGAAAGATTTGGAATTCAATTGAGAGTTAAAATTCTATTGAATTGATTTGTATGAAATTGAATTCTCCAATTTCAATTCATTTCAAGCACTACCAATTCCAAATCCACATATGTTTGTGCTATCAAATAGCAGAATTAAAATTGTTGTTTCCAATTTCAATTCCATAGTTTGAATTACGTGTACCAAATGGAGCTTCAGTGTAAACATCTTTGTGTTCTTCACACTTCTATTTCAACACTATTTTATTCTTGCAATTTTAATTCCACAAGTTTTTCCACATTCACGTATAACACATTAACACTATCCACCACCCCATTCCTAATGTGGGCATACATTCTAACACAATATAAATTTACTCATCATTTTACTCATCACAAGTGAACAAAAAATTATTTTTTCCCCTTGTAAGTTTTCTTTGCATCTTGCTTTTTTTTTCTTTCTCACGGCTCTTTTTCTCTTCATTCACATATTCTTCATAAGACTATTTTACATGATCTTAATAGTTGTGTATGACTTTAAACTACATAGCATGCAAAAAAAATTTGCTTATATAAAGAAATCAGTATATAGACTTATGTATATAATACACAACTTTCCTATCAAAGTAATCACACTCACAGTCTCACACGAATTTCCAAGAATCAAATGAGTAATGGCTAAATACTCCCTCCATGTACCTATTCTCGTCTTCATATCTTTCAATAGAAAGTGGAATCAATATTTACTTGGTTACTTCAATTTTTCTACCAAACAACCATGTCACATGTGGTGTTGGACTTTCTTTATCAAACCTTATCTATCAATAGCAATTTGATAAAGACCTTGTTGGCCTATCGCATCAAGCTAACTCTTCCAAATGAGAGATCACATATTGAATCCTCAGTAAAAAAGATAACTCTCGACAGCTTCAATTATTTGAAAAAATATGCATGAACAAATACGATAATTGTAATACTCATTATTGCAAAAAAAAACATCATGAATATTACTTCATTCATCTCAAATTAAATTGCATGTTTCAATTTATGATCTTGAATTGAAATAAATTTTTTTATGCAATTTATTAGAGAATTTGGGCAAAATTAAAAAATAAACTTTATATAATAAAAAAATTAAATAAAAATACTCTACAAAATGAGATGACATGACCCTTATCCTATTAATTGAGTAAAAAAATAGAAAAAAGTCAATGAAATTTGATCATGTAAATATTAAGCAAGCAACTTGGTTTAGAATAGAGGGAGTAACATTTTTCTCCAATGAGACATTTCACATAGAACTAATTCAAGCTTAGTAGCAACTCTAACACCATAATGAGACATTTTTCTAAAGATTGAAAAAATTAGTATTTTTTAATTTTTTGAATGATTCTCCAAAAGACAAGAAAAGCAAAGAAAACCCAATATTTTTTAAAGATACTCAAATAGGTACAAAAAATGGACTAATTTTTGCAGAAACATATATACCAAAAACTAGCAATATTTTTTCTGCACATGACATGAAAATAGAGCATTAGACAACGTGTTGATTCGTCAAAAGCTTTGATACCAAATCTTTGAAACCATATAGTAGGTACTTTGTTTGTACAAGGCAGTTCTTGGATTCAACATATGGCACATCGTTATGTACTCCGACAGGAAGTAGAGAACAACTAACCCAATAAAATTTCACAAACTAGGTTCGAAGATAGGGTGTAGGGTAGACCTTACTCCTACCAAGAAAAGGTAGGGAAGCTGTACCCGAAAGTCTCCCGCTCAAGCGCAAAAAACGAACATAGAATTGTACCATGAATACAACCACTAATGTTACCTTAGGAAGTGCAGCAAAGCATTATGCAAGAATCTCTTGGATCCAATAAAAAACTACAATCCACCTATTGATGCTAAGTGCTTTTGGATTTCTTCTTTTTTGGCTTCCCTGCAGGCGCTGCGATGAACTCTTCCGCGTCAATGTTCTCCTTCGATCTTTGCTGTCCGAACTCCTTTACCTTTTTCTGCAGGTGAGCCACATATAATTGACACATTAGAGATCGACAACAGAAACAAACATTTAAGGACCGTTTGTTTATGTGAAAATTAGAATATGTTTCCTAATATTTTTTGAATGTGTTTGTCACAGCCATATTTTCAAGGAAAACGTTTTCCTAGAAACCACGTTCTGATCCTGAAACTGAAAATAATTTCTCCACGTAAAATATTATCTAGAGAACAATTTTCACATTTTATTTTACCGGAAACTGTTGAAGTATCCCACATCGAAAATTGAAGAGAAAAGTAATCGGTAAATAAGCTCTTGAGATCAACTAAGTAATCAATTGGATTCAATCTTTTAATGTGGTTCAGCCCAAGTGTCTTATAGCCCAATCTAGTTACCCCTACCCCATCCTAAATCCTATCATGGTATCGGAGCTAAGGTCATGTACATTGAGACCGCACCCGCAGTTATATGCACCTCGTGTAAGGGGGCGTGTTGAGTTATACTCATCCCACATTGGTCGTGTACACACTAATATTATGGTGTTTATAATGGCTTGGTTCCTCAACCTCTTGAGTTAACTTTTGAGGTTGAATTGGGCTTAAGTCTACTAATTCACATGGTATCAGAGCCAGTTTTAGCTCACCTCATTTGTTAAGGTGTCCATCTAGAAGTTCAATCCTAGCAGCCCATTAGTCTTTAGCCTAGTTTTCGAAAAAAATAGTCTGCGGCCCATATAACCTGACTATTCGTTTGGAAGTCCATACCCAGCGATTCGTGTTCCTTTAGGCGTTGACACTTTCCATCCTTTCATTTCCTAGGGAGGGAAAGTCCATTTCCAACTGGTCAACCGGTTATATTCAAAATGACCCGGTTGTCCACTTGAGGGGGAGCCTTAAACGATCCCACATCAAAAATTGAAGAGAAAAGTAATCGGCATTTAAATTATTGAGTTGAACTAAGTAATGGATTTGATGTGGTTCGGTCCAAGTGTCTTATAGCCCAATCTAGCGACCCCTACCCCATCCTAAATTTTATCAGAAACATATAGGACCTATGTGCCAAAGATGTTTACATCTTACACCTGTGCTACGACAAGTATATACATACAAATACGTAGTTACCTTCAAAGACTCAGTTACTGCCGCCACATCATTTTTATCATTGCTAGCAACATGAGTGTCCTTTTCCAAAGGCTCCTGCACAGAGATATCAACAAGGATTGAATATATGGTGACAATGGTGTGCCAAAAAATTAGTTTCCAAAAATGCTCCTGGAAGATCAAACCTCAGGCGGAATAAAAGATGCATCCCGTTTTCTCTTATTTTCGAAAACCTTTTCTGCTTGCTTCTCCTGTTTTTCTCTCCATTTCTTTGCTGATTTCTTGTCTTCACTCAGGAAGTACTCACCACTTTCCAGTTGTAAATCAATCTGACTCCATGAGAATTTGAATCACGGGAAAGAAAATAGGTAAAATAAGTAGAAAAAACGCAAATTAATCCTGTGAGAGAGTCCACACTGAAAGCGGTAAATACTATGGAAAAGAAAAAATTTGGGTAAAACTAGGATAAATTTAAAAATATGTTCAAATAAATCAAACTCAATAAATTCCCTTCCAATATTTGTTTAAACACTTTCTTTTTATGTATGTCTTTTATGTGAACACAAATATAAATATGCTCCATTTGTCCCTTTATCCCTCAAAGAACTTTACACTTTCCTTTTCTCGTCCGTCCGAAAATGAAACTTACACTTCCCACATTTCTTTTCAAGGAAAACAATATGTGCTCACAATAATTCTCTTTTCTAAACAAATTCTAACCCCAAAATAATCACTTCAACACTTTTCTTAAACTCTGTGAAATCAAAGTGCCAATTTCTTTTGGGTGATGGAAGAGTATAATTATACATCTATACTTCATCCGTCCTACAAAAACCTTCCTGGTTAATATTCAGATAGCCAAATCAACTTCTTTCTTTACACATTTTTCATTTATCATTTAATAAAATAAAATAGTCACATCACCTTTTGTTTTGTAGAATTTTTATGAAATTTTAAATATATGAAATTTATCTTTGAACTCTACGCAAATTTAAAAATTAATTGAATTGAAAATATCATTCAAGCATCATAAACTAAAACAAGAAATGTTTTGTTTCTTTCCCAAGCAATTTCCATAATTCAAACACCCATAATGTTTTTTAGGGATATTGACTAGATAAGGCTAGGATATGGAAGTTCAATTATGGAAGGCCAAAAGCAGGTAGTCTATAGTTACAACTGACTCAACTGACATTCTAAATGGACAAACAATCTAACCTTGCTAGGAGGCTGCGGAGGAGGAAATGGTGTATAAGCTTTCTTCTCTTTAATCTTAGCTTTCTTTTGTTTGACGTTCTTCCTGAAATGACAGCAAAAAAGAATATGAAAAGAACATTGATAAGCTAATTCATACCCATTAATACACAACACGTTGTATAAGATCAACAAATTCTGTACTTCTTAAACTTCGGAAGAAACCGGTCCCAATTTTCATTTGCCAGTGACGGATCTTTCGCCAGTTCTCTCTTCATCATGAGGATCTATAATGGGGAACATAAAAGAAAAAGATCTATAAATACATCTTTGGCCTAGCTAGATCTTGAAATTCAAAACTTTGGGCCTGCTATAAGTGGATGTTTTGGCCTATTTTATTTAGCTCTATAGAAGTTCATTTGTTACACTATGTTTGAGAAGACAAAACAATGGAGGTAAAGTGTGGAGAGAATGACATTTGGGAAGGATGGAATTAGAGAGACGAAAGTAAGGCTTATTTTGCATCATCTTCTTTCTCTACAAAATGAAAGGAAAGTTTAATACTCTATAATCATTATGATACTTACCTTTTTATCCTAATTTTAAAATCATTAATTCATTTTGTGTATGCTCAAAAGGTTAAACAAGGGAATTTAAACATTGCAGAGTGTAATTTAATTTACCTCTAAATCAATCATTCAAATGATAGAAACAAATTTATTTACTTCCAATGCCATTCACATTTTACCTCAACTCAAGCACATGAGATGATACCAGTAATAAGAAAGAAAAATAAATTATTTCCCTTCTTGTTCTCCTCTCCTATAGAAGACTCCCAAACATAATGTCAAAGTTTTTGTGATTTTATAACTGAATATGGTACCATAAGTTGTGGGCCGAGCAAGCACTAAATCGTCAAGGAAAAAAACCGTACTGCAAAAAATCACATAACATACTAGGACATTCACCTTAATATGATACAATGGATGCATTTTATTTTCTATGCAGTCCTCTACAATTCTCCGCACTTGTTTTAGCCCTTTAAATGAACCCATTGCAGAAACAGTGTTTCCCTGTTCATTTTATCAGCAGAAAGATTAAAAGATACCATAATGCTTTGGAAAATAGATATTCTCAACTCAGCAACAAATGAAACACAACCCTAAATTTCAAAAAATAGAAAACAGAAGAAAACATGGGTGATACACATCAACCCACATGGAAGATATATAAGCTGTAACATGTAATAAAAGCAAACCTGGACAAGAATGTAGCATCCAGTCACAATTTCCAAAGCCTGCATTGAATAAAAACATTTGAACTTTATTTAAGTTAAAAGGGGTTAGAGAGTGTTACATCATGAATACCAGAGAACATTTAAATGCAGAGTCCAAGGTAAGGAAAAACAGTATCATTACAGTAGGCAACTTCATTGGAAAAAAAATCATCAAATAAGGTATATTTCAAATATCAACTTAGAATTTTTAAAGTGGCAAATTTCATGAGTTAACTTAAAAACTTGCAACTATCTCCAATAGTCATATACAATTGATTCCCTTCCAAAATTAGCTGCCGAATTCTCCAAACCTGAATTAGGTATTAAAATTGGGTCCTGCAGACTAGGACAGAGAGGGGTATTATTGCCTACACATAATCCATTATTTTGCCAGTGTTCCACTTATACTTTGTATCATTGTTTCCCTTCTCTTTACTTCATATCCCTCTTTAACAAATCAAGCCAAAAGACTTATTTGCCAATAATGAGAAGCTTATGCATCAATTTGGTCCCATTTGTGGAAGAACAATGTATTATGTATGTGTTTAAAAAAATCTTCCAATTGCTTATTTTTAGTAGCTTTTACAACTTCAGTGTTTAGTAATGAAAGAAAGGCTTAAATAAACACTTTTTAAAGCCAACTAAAACTCATAATCCAAAAGCAAGAAGCTAATTGCAGATTGCTTTTAGATTTTTTTAAAACGCTCTCCCAAACCTCATTAGCCAAAAGTGGTCACCTACCTTTTGCCTTGGATAACTTTTCTAAACCACTCCCACTATAATTGGTGACTCGACATCTTGCCAAATTGATGTTCCTTAAGATCATACGTATTCCAAAATGTCTCAATTAAATATATACATATATAGACATATGTGTTTGCGTGCACATGTGCGTATGTGTGTCTTCTTCTTTCTATGTGTATGAGTGAGAGTGTGTGTGTGTGTTTGTGTGTGTGCGCGGGTGTGAGTGCAGAATTTTGATGGCAAAAAATGCAGGAAGGAAATTAAACCAGTAGTCATGATGTCACAAAAATCAAGACTATAGGATGCGCCTAGCAAACTTGATTTTCTTTGTTAAATTTACTTTTAATAGAATTATACATACCTTCAGAGTAGAAGAATTGGGACCCAAGAGACGTTGCCTCCGCTTAGCAAACTTATCCTGTTAAAATATTAGAGGTGATTGACTAAAAAACAATGGGATACTTCGTCATGAGTGGTATCATACACATACAACATCCAACGAGTCAAATTTCATTTAGATGAGTCAGTACTCCACTCACAATTGAAGTGGCCCAATAAGCAATGAAATCTTTAAAAAAGAAATTACAGCCTGCTTTGAATCAGTTCAGCATTACGTACCTTGCTCCGGGTCAAGTTTCCAATCTTGATTATGTCACATTGCATTTCATCATTCAAAATTTTAATTGCCTAGAAAATAAGAACATTGTTATTGTGATTAAACAAAGGTTGAAACCTGGAAGGCAAACTAAACACAAACCCCCATAAATCAGCCACAATACACTTCATATAATTCAACTAAGTGGCCCCAAGCAAATAAAAGAACATAACGAACCATAATATAGATATAATGACACTCAAACCTGGGGTGCAGGAACACTTCTTGACAGAAGTTTAATAAGATCTCTAGCTTTGACTATAATATATGGATCCCTTGTTTTCATAGTTGTTGAAACTGTCATGGATCCATCAACCTGACCACCCATTAAAAAGATCAGAATGTTACCAAATGACATAACAGATCAATTTTCAGAAGAACAGCTTTTCGCAAGAAAGAAACAGTGCAAAAACAAATACACAACAATTGGCAGTGTCTAGTAAAGGATATTAATGTTTCGATAAATAAATTGTTCGCTTCACTTTCCATGTCAAACTTTGACAAACAATGTATCTTATAATGTCTTGCCAAATATTATTTAAAAAACAATAAACTGAAGTATTTTTCAACATGAATATTATGGTATAAATTTCAGGGAGTATTTTTTAATTCATTATACATTAACTTTGTTGGTAAAAGTTCAGCATGCATAAACAAAACAGACAGTTTAAAAGAACAGAGGGAGTAAACTGCAAGTACTGACAACTCTTGTAAAACGCAATATCAAAGAACAAATTATATATTCCAAAACAGATCCTAGAATAACATGTATGCCCATGGAACTTGAGACAGCTTAGGAACCAATTGGAGTTTATTCACTTAGGTTAGGCATAACATTCTAAAGATAAGGTGTGCAAAACTCACCAAATTCAGCTCGCAAGCTACGCCGTATTCTTTGAGTGCACTTCTGACAACTGGCCAGCATTCTTGCAAGTACTTTTCTGTACAAACCAAGTTCAGTTTCAATCACACAGGACTCAAAATACATACGGAGTAATAAAAAAAATACAGAGTGGAAAATTAAGGAACCACTCACCTCTGTACTGAGGGAACAGGGTCGAGAAAGTGCTCACTTCAAGCATGCCTCCTTCGTTCCATGAAGGGTCGAACTTCTCAACCTTCCAGTGATCGATGCTGGGGTCATCCCACGGCTTTGGCTTGTCGTGCTTCCCCTTGTGCTTCTGCCTCAGGTTCTGACCCTCTTCCACCTCTTTCTCAGTCTCCGCCATCTCTTCTGCGGTAGAGAAGATGAGCAAGAATCCCAAAACGAGAGTATACGTTTATGTGCGCCGCAAACGGTGCGCTCACAGTGTAACAGCGCCGCTAGGGTTTAATGCCTTCGGCAATTTGCCTGCTTCGGAGTTTTCGTTTTCTTTCTTTTCCCAATTGGAGGAGACACCAGATGGTTAGGGACTTATGGAAAAGGGCAGAAAAAGGTTGGTATTTATGAGAATGTCCTCCTAGATCTAACACGTAAGGCGCGTCCGCTCTACTTGAGTGAAATGATGGGAAATGACAGAAAGACCCTTCCAAACAAGAAACAAAACGTCACTGTTTATGACCATTACTTCAAAAATTAAACGGAAATATTAAAATTAACGACCAGCCGTTGGGTTGCCTTTGAAGCGTCACGATGATTTTCGGAAAGGCCAAACGACGTCGTTTGAAGCACCAACCCCTCCTTAATCCCCCGACCAGTCTTCGGAAACGATAAGCCTTCATCAATCGAAACTCTTCTGCTCTTCGTTCTCCATTGCATATTGTCGTCGGATACCTTCAAGAACTGCCACACATCTGTTTGCCATGGAGAACACCGGAGCAAGTTGCAGGTTCCAGTACAAGAGAAGAAGAACTCTCACCCAAACACGAAGGGAGGAGATGGAGAATGAAAACTAGGTATTTTCAAATAATCCTCACCTAAAATTAACTAATTTTGGTTTTATTTTGAACTATTTGGGATTGGTGTCAGATTTCTGCTGAGGTAACTCCATCTGTGGAGGGTGAATCATTCCCGGATGCTTCGGAAATTGAGGTGCATTGCATGTACACTAAAATATAACATTTAAAGTTTATTTTTGTTTTTGAAACATTTGGAAACAGAACAAGTTATTCGACCATGGAAATACTCAATATAATGTTACAGTAATTGGTTACAGTCGAATCTATTTTTTGATTAGTTCTTGATTTTAATTCTAGGTTCCAGCGTTGGATTGCACCATTGATATTGATAAAATACCTGGAATGAAGTTAACCCTGAAATCTTCTTTGGGGGAGTTCCAGAATCTGATGAGCGAAGGACTTGGAGATCATCAAGAAGTCCTTGCTTTGTTTAGGGAGAACACCTCTTTTTCTCATTTTTTGGATGTTGAGTGTATTCCTCCTCCTCTGTTCCTATGGCAACTCATTGCGAGGGAAGCCAAAATAAAGAGGAAAGGAGAGATGTGGTTTGTTGTCAAAGGAGTTTCTGTCAGGTACTCCTTGAGGGAGTTTTCACTCATAAGCGGCTTCAACTGCTCTCACCTTAACGCTGGCTTTGAAAATTCAAAGGAATTAACCTCTACAAAGAATGATTTCATTCGAGCTCACTTTCCTTCTGCAAAGAAGGGAAAGAAATCTGCTTCAGTCACATACAAGATGGTTGTGCAGCGTTTCTTAGACATTTGTAAAGGTTTGGACAGGGAAAAGAAGAAAGAAGGCCAGGAGATGGATGCTGTGAAAATGGCAACACTATTGTTTGTTGTTGTTGTTCTCTTGGGTCCTGCTGATCGCGACAAGTCTGCAATTCTAGATTGGATTCTGGGCATGATTGCACAGTGGACAGCAGTTCTAGATTTCCCATGGGGAACCTGGGCATTTATGGAGTCCTTGGGGTCACTGAGGAAAGACCTAGCTGCTAAGGCCAAATCAATTGGAAGAGGGGCCTCATCAACCATGTACTATACTGGTTTCTTGCTTCCCATTGGGGTAAGGATTTTTTAATTATAATATTTCTTATAATTTTTATTGAAATGTGATCTCATTGAAACTTTCAATATGAAAAGATCCTTTTTCTAGAGAGTTGCTTGGGGACTGGAACAAATATTACAACAAGAAGCCCACAGACATCCCCAGCTAGGCCAAAAATTTGCCTTTAGGGTGAAATTCCAATAAAGAAGAAAATCACCCACACAGAAATGGATGTTTACGTTGGGGACGTGCAGGTATATACATATTATTGGTCAATAAAGATTAAAAATTTAAGGAATTCCAAAAATAAAGTGTCATTGTTTTGGTTGCAAGCTCTACAGAGCATTTTTGTTCCCGACAAGTTTGAGGCTACTGCAGAGTGGTATTTGAACATCCATCCTCTAAAGAGTAGAGACCACAGCACACCCTGAGTTGGATGCATTTGTGGCAAAATTAGAGGGTAGAGGGGAAGTCCACATTCCGGTGGAGGGGAAGAGAAAAGCCCGGAATGTCCCTTCACCAACAAGAGATAATTCTGTAGAGCGTAATGAGCACATCTCCTCTCCCCAAACATCTCAGAGGAGTCAGAGCCTTAGGGAATCTCCTTCTAGAGTCTCCCATTCCAACATCCCAATTCCATCGTCTCCTACCCCTCACCCCACCAAGCCTTCATCCAATTCCTTTCAAGAACTCTTTGATCGAATGTCAAAGAAAATTGATGACATTGCAGAAGAACAACGAAAGAGGTTTGAAGTGCTGGAAAAAAAGTTGATGTTTTGTCAACTTTAATAAATCAAAAGATTGTTAATAAGGTATGTCTAAGCTTTTGAAAGGTCATCCAATAACTTTAATTGATCACAACTGATCTATTCTTATGTAAAAATATGAAGGTGAATGCAACTGAATCAGGAGAAGAAGCAACAAAGACTCCGGTGGAGGTAAGTCGAATACCGTCAAATATATACGAAGCAATCGAATGTATACGAAATGTTCGAAGTTTCTCGAATACAGTCGAAACGTTTTGTTCAGTTTTTAATCTGTAAGATCTTTTAACGTTCAGGTGCCAGAGACGACAATCATGGATGATTGTGAACAGACTGAGGCACGCAATCCTTCACCTGATGATAAGGTATAGGGTTTAATGGAGTCATTTAATTTTGTTTGCATATGTTAAATGAAATCATAAAATCATTTCAGTTCTTCATTCTCATCATTTTCATACTTCATACTCTATAGGTTTCTCCAAGACTCGGTATTCTCCAAATTCTCGGGGAAATAAATCAAGAGCATGAGAATCCACCTTCAACTCTTTCTGATTCTGTTCTAAGTTTGGAGAAGAGAATGATAAAGTTCTAATCTTAACTTACAGCTGCATTGTCCTTTCGAAAATGTTCTAACCACATATTTTTGGACTCCACACCTTTTGTACTTGTTTGTAGCTTGAGTCTACCCATGACACAATGATAACAGATGTTGCTGCTTCAATTGAACCTTTGGATCGGAACTCCTTGTGGAGAAAATAGTAACATTCTTATTTTCATTCATTAATTTTGTATTTCGTAATATGGAAGGATATAATATGATGGATAGATTCATATTTTTGTTCTTGTCTGTAGGCTGAATCTACCCATGAGGTAATGGAAACAGACGATGCTGCTTCTATGAAACCTCTGCAGAACAAGGTAAAATTCTAAATTTCATGCATTCGAAATGCAGTCAATATCTTCGAAGTATTTAGAACATGTTTATTTGCACTCTATTTAATGTAGGTTGTTTCTCCCTAGAAGGAATTGGGAGACGAGGCTGATATTATTGATGCCCATGTGCATGGAAAGGTTTGGTATCTTACTTTAAGTGCTTTCGAATTTGAGTCAAAGATTTCGAAATAATTCGAATTATCTGTAGGTTGAGCCTAGCCATGAGGTCATGGAAACAGACGCTGCTGCTTCTATGAAAACTCTGCAAGACAAGGTAAATTCTAAATTTCATGCATTTGAAATGCAGTCAATATCTTCGAAGTATTTAGAACATGTTTATTTTCACTCTATTTAATGTAGGTTGTTTCTCCTAGAAGGAATTGGGAGACGAGGCTGATACTATTGATGCCCATGTGCATGGAAAGGTTTGGTATCTTACTTCAAGTGCTTTCGAATTGGAGTCGAAGATTTCGAAATAATTCGAATTCACTTTTTTTTATTTTAGAGATTGAAAAAGAAGTTAGCCAGTTTGAAGTCTCCATATATAGCGGAGGGGAGGAAGAAAAAGAAAGCCGATGAACTCTTATCTAAGCCGCCAACTAAAAGAGATCTTTTGGAATTTAAGAGGTTCATCGCAGAAGCAATTAAAACTGACAGCCCTGTACAATGCTACCTCGAGCAGCACAAGGAGCATGAGGAATATGTGAAAACCTGGTGGACTAACCTTATCACTCCAGGTCTTTGGGTAGCGGATACTGTAAGTTGCATTAACCTTTCATTCTTCGTACACAAACAATGCTTATATCTTTCGTTTTCTAATAACATACAATTGTTTGTTAACTAGCAACTGAGTGAGTACCTTTACGTCCTGAGAAGACGTTTATGCAATGACGATGGAGACTCTGTCATTGCGCCTTTTGAATTCACAACGTACGTGAACTCTTTTGCGCATGACCCACAATGGCCTGTTTTGTCTGGACCCATTGAAAAGATTGTGGATGGTACATACAGCGAGGAGCAGGAAGCATTTAAAACCAAAGCCTGGAAAAAGAACACTAAGTATGTATATTATTTGAAAGCCACGGGTACACATTGGTTCTGTGTCAAGGCTGACTTTGAGAGGTGCTGCCTCGTCGTGCTTGACTCCCTTTCTGGGATATCTACGAATGAGGACATGCATCGTTTGCTGAAAGATGAACTTAAAGGGTTTTCAAGCATTGCTGGAATTAAAGAAATTGGCAAGCACGGATATGCCACTTGGGATATCGAATTATGCCCAGTACCCCAACAGAATAATTCTGACTGCGGCATCTTCGCGGTAAAAATGTTAGAGTTGGGAGCACAACATAAGGATTTTAAATCTTTGGAGAAGATGACAAAAGAAAAGATGGCCAACATGCGTTTAGAAATTGCTTACTACATATGCAAGGAGTACCATTGTAGAAACAAAAAATAAATTCTGTGGTAGATAAATATATTATTAATAAAATTATGGTGGATACATATGATTTCATGGAATAGCATATATTATTACATATATTATTAACAGTATTATTAATTATGTGGTGGATACATATGATTGCATGCAATTGCATGGAGTTGCATGTAAACACGAGTAACTAATATTACGGGATTACATTCTAAAACTTGTTCATATAAAATTACATAAAAATCAATAATTCCATGAAATTAGCTCGGACCAATCTTTGAGTAATTTCTTTTTGATCCCTTCAATATTTCGGTCTCTACACAAGCTGCTAGAACTGTTAGCATTCCCCTAGATCTGGAGATTGGGTTTGGCTTGCATTTATAATGTCCGTTTGTTCGATCAGACAACACTATGCCTCTACTGCAGCACGCATGCACAGTTCGTCATCATGTGCTGCAGTAGAGGGATGCGTTATATGATCGAAAAAACCATTACAACCGTATTATCTGATCGAAAAAACCATTACGACAGTTAGAGAAAAACAACGTACTTGAAATATCCATTTCTATCAATCAATGAAAGAAAGGTAAGAAATTCTAATGTGGGTAAAGAAACAGGATTGTAAGATATGGAATACATTGATGAAGAATACTAAGCGTGTAGATAATGAAAACAGGGTAAGTGCAATTTGAAATTAATTCGATCACATAGAAAGTATTTCGACCTTTCTTCGAATACAATTAAATGCAATCAGTATTATTCAAGTCATTCGTCGTAGATGTGTCTTTACGAGGTCTCTTTGCGCATGTCCCTACTGTATGCCATTTTCCTTGGCAACCAGAACATGTGAATTTATATTTTTTTCGTGCCTCGCCGTCCGATGGAAATCTCTTCGTTGTTGGCCTTCCTCTTTGCTTGTACAATATAGGGGGTTTGACTTCTATGAGCTCCATTCCATCGGTATCCCAGTCATCTTCATGTGGCACGAGGTAGATTGTTTCCGCGTATGCGATATACATGTATTCCTTTGTGTAGAATTTACTACACACGCTATAACAATCTATGCATGTGCGTTCTGAACAAGCGAGTGCATGCACGCAAGGTATCTTATCCTTGTCAAACACTTGGCAGGTGCAAGTCTTATTTGAAAGGTGAACGAAATGGTCAGAGTGCACTCCCTTGACTTCAAACTCGTATTGATTCAACTGATGACACTCCCAGCGCAAGGCAGTGTTGAATCTCTTGCGCATTTGAGCTTCAATAGCTGGGGTAACAGGGGGATTTGACTCATCGAGAGACCTTAACTCTTGTTGCCTTTTTCCACGCCACCTTGAAGTCATGTTCTGGACTGCTTTTAAAAGTGCAACAATAAGAAGTTCCCTGGCCTCCCTCAACACGCTATTGATTGATTCGACGCCATTTGTTGTCATGATTTGGTTCCGGTTTATTTCAAAATACGCCCTGGCCCATCTTTTCTTTGGGATCTTGTCAATGTAATTGCCAGCAGTTGGGTACCTTGCTTTCAAGTCGCCATACAACCTCTTGAATGACCGTTTGGTGTATGCATTTGCAAGGTCCTCAAAAAGTTTATCCAACCCCTTTTTGCACAACTTTGGAAAACGCTTCCTCAAATTACAAGTGATGTGATACCTACACAATCCATGATCCGCAGCCGAATAGTGCTTTCTTATCCCATTTCGAATGCTAATGTGTCTGTCCGAAATGAACACCAAGTCTCCGGAATCAGGAATTAACTTCCTTAAATGGCCAAAAAACCAAGAGTATGAGTCGTTGTTTTCAGAGTCCATATATAGGATATTGGTGAAAGTCACCATCTTGAGCCGTTGCAATGAGTAAAACACCCTTATAGGATGTCTTAAGAAAAGTTCCGTCAACGCGATGACATGCCTCATTGCTTGAAATCCAGAAATACATGCATGAAATGCTATGAATACATACTTGAAAGCACCCCCCCCTCATCAAGTTCTAGGTGGGTTGTTATAAGATCATTATTTGCTTTCTTCAACATGTGCAAGTATAATGTTAGCTTTTCGTAACTAGTCTCGGGCATCCCAAACATGGCTTCATTTGCGAACTTCCAACTCCACTAAGCCTTTGCATATGTGATTGGCATGCTCTTGTTTTTAATGAAAGTCATGATGTTTTTGGGCCTAATTAAATCATCCGTACCATCAAAATTCTCTAAAATTAAATCTGACACATATCTCGAAGTTGTTTGGCTGTGTGTTCGGCTACGGTCACCAACTGTACAAATATGTTTCCCGTTGTATTTTTTAAATCGCTTAGCTCTACACAAAAAATGCTACCTACGGTAGTAGTAGGTTCTCGTAAACAGTGAGAACGTAAAGTTGTGTATGGAGAAGAACAGCGAGAAGTGTCAGAAACAAAGTTTTACAGGAACATACCTTTGTAGTCGGTAGAAGAAGAAGTTGAGAGAAAACAGTCGTTTGTCAAGTCCGATGGCCAAATCCGACCCGTCTTCAAAGCCACCATCCAATGTCACGTCTACCTCATTACCAAAAGACATATCAAAAGAAGGATCATCCCTCCGAATAAAGCATTCGTCCTCATTTAACTCATCATTATCACCACCCATATAATCATCTTCATCCACTTGAGCAGTTGTTGGGCTCTTCACAAGAGTGGCATTAGACTCAACGAATTGAGGATTTTGATCACACCTCCCTGCATTTTTCTGAAAAACAATACCTTCATGATCACGCCCAGATTCTTGATCAGCAACAATCATACAATTGAAGAAGTCATCCTGGACGCAATCAATCAGGGGAACGAAGGGGTCAATTGCTGATTGCAATCCCAAGAGTTCTTCTTCTTCACGTTCAACTGGAACCATCTCAACATGCAAGGCTATAAAGTTTTGCTTTAATTCCAAAAGAAATACATGTAGTGTTTCACTTGAATCGATGGAAAAGGGTGGCATATTTTTTTCAAGCCGTTGAATTTAAAATGTAATTTTTGGCCTTTGATTTTTCATATCACAACCAAGCTTTTGAATAATGGCTTTCAAAAAGGCATCAAAGTCCAAATTAGCAACATCCCAAAACAACGAAGTTATATTCTTGCCGGATCCACTGTAAACATAATGCCCTTCGTGATCTGTGGTCCACTTTACACCATAAACAACATATAATATAACAGGATCTGTACCCATCTGCAATTGAAAAACATAAACAACATATAAACAACATAAAATATCACATTTAAGTGTATTCGAAATTCGTCAAAAGAACGTCGAATAGTCGAGACCAATCGAAATAACTTCAAATATTTGAAAACATCATAATCATATCCAAATATTCCCTAAATGTTCGTATGGATATCAAAATGTTTTCGCAGACTATATTCGAATAGGGTTTATCTCGGAGTAGGGTTTATTTCTATCTTAGATATGTAGGGTTTACCATAAGATATGTAGAATCATAACACAATTGGCTCAATTAGAGTTTTCCGTGAAAATTTACTCCTCCGTAACTCTTTAGTGTAAAGAAAAATTAAGCTTTGTAATCAAATTTGGGGTATCGGAAATTAGGGTTTACCGTAATCTCTTTATGCTCTTTTTTCCTCCTTCTACGCTACGCAATAGCTTCTAAACGCGTTCCTAAATCTTATCGTTTTGCTCTACTGTCAATTACGTTGCCGATTTGCAGAGCAAATGTGTAGTGTGCGTCCAATTGAGGAGCTGGAGGGGAAAACAGAAATAGTTGAATTCGGGCCGGGTCAAAAAGGGGGGAAATCGTAAAACGACTGTGGAGCGTAATTAGATTCTTTCGAAAATAACTTTCGAAGAATAGGGGTAATTTAGGAATTTCACATGGTATTTTTTCGTGCTTTTAAGTGAGGGTAGATAGAGAGTAGTCTCATAATATCAAACCTTTTTTGGACATTTTTATAAGAGAAACCTTTTTTTAGGGCACTCTTATAAAGCGCCCACTTAACGGATACAAATAGACGGAAATTGTTAAAAAATGAGAGAAAATTCAAAGAATTTTAGAGAGATAATGGCCATGTTTGGTAAATGGCGGTTCACCCAACATTTGGCATCTTTGACCATAAACAATGGATTGGACTAGTCAAACTGCCAAATAAACTGTATAGATAATGGCTTTTGAAATTGACATTTAGAACCGAACAACCAAAAATTGAAATGCCAACCCCAGAAGCATTTCATTTAGCAATTCACCCCCTTTTCCGTTTCTTACCCTATTTTCGGTGTTGCGTCTCTCTGCGATCCTCACGGCACCAGAAGTTTTCATGACTTTCTCCCTGCAATTTCCTGATTAGTCGAGAGCTTGTCTGATTTTTGGTCAAATTATTTAAAAATACAAACACAAAAAGATCGTGTTTAATATCATTAATTATATTAAAAATATTATAAATTATCATTTTAAAAATTTAAACTAATCAAACTAAATTATAGCAGTGTGAGTTACCATTTTACACAAGTGAGCTCTAATAATTTACAGTCTATAAAAGGATATAAAGAAATAGAATAAGAACACATTTACTCATTGACTTCACACTGATTTATTAATTTAGAACGTTATAATACTTTATCTTTTATATACAATTTTGTTACTTCAATCTTTGAAAGAACGACATGTGTCAACATTTCAATACGTATTTTCATACTTCCAATATATTGATTTTATGATTTTATTTTATTGCTATACAATTTATGGTTTATATTCCGTATATTATTTATGATTTAAATTGAAGAATATAACATTTATATTTATCTATTATTATATGATATTTTAGTTAAATTATAGTTAACAATTGATATAAAAAATGTTACCAAAATATACTATGTTTACACTAACATTCTTTATGATTTTAACAATATTTAGTAAATTTAATTTTGGAAAAGAGATAATCGCTTTCATTAGAATACATTTTTCTAATTTTATACTTTTTCACAACATTTATAATAAAACTATCAATTAGTAAATGAGATTTCTTTCCTCAAAAACAGATACTTTCATAACCTCTAAAAAAATATATTTTTATGACATGCTTAAATGAATTTAGTTTTGATTTATTTATTTAAATATTGATATAAATATTGATATAAATATTGATTTATTCATTAAAATATTCATATTTTTGAATTCGTGATATGAAGAATCTCAATTTCTAATATGAAGAATCTCAATAACTATTAAATGTATATTTTTAATAGTTTATCTTATAGTAACTATAAGTTTCTGGTGTGAATGATCTCAATCTTAGGCAATCACATAGCATACTTTTTATAGTTATGAGACATATATTTATGATACATACAAAGAGATTGATATGCCTCCAAGAAGAACAAGATTTTTGAGATTATGAGCAAATTTGTGTTGATAACGTGTTAAAAATGAGAGAAAAACTCAGAGAATTTTAGGGAGATAATATTTCAATTTCTTCTTCTCTTGGTACTTCTTCTTTTTCTTCTTAATAGTGTTGATGCCTCCCGATAGATATGACGACGACTTTTGTAATTGAAAAAGAGAAATTATGTTGGTCGCGGTAGTAGTAGTAGATGGATGAGGCGGGCGAAGAAGACGACATTGATTTTGCAGCATTCAAATGTGATCCCAACTCTTCTAGCTTGGGTATGTTGGGAAAACTTGCTTTAGTTTAACTCCACTTTATGCTTGTAAGAGCACACATATAGTTATCCGGAAATGTGCAAATTGCAGAGTCAATAACAAATCATATTTCTTTTCTTGGAGTATTTATTCACTTTTGACTTTTTTGGTCAAAATTAGTAAACTTTGAGTCTTTTGTGCCAAATTAAACAAAAATGATATCAGATATTGATACAAAAATAGTTTTATTAGATTTATTATATGCAATACTTTCAAAATAGTATTTTATCTAATTAATATACAATATACATTTTATTTAATTACATGTCTCGTTGAAAACGATTGACTGAAAAAGTCAAAACTGGACAAATATTCTAGGACGGAGGTAGTAATTATTTTGAATCATGGTTCATTAATTCATAATCATCATTTAAATCAGGATAATCAAATGAACATATCTATTCACAATTTCATTCTTATAGTTTATTCATTCAATACCATATTTTATTATTTCGTCAGAATAAGATTGTTATCATCATGTTTACACGGTCATCCATTTAATCGTCATAATCAATATTTAATCAGTGGCGTTTCATTATGGTTTATCCATTGTAATAATCATTCAATTCAAAATATCCATCAAAGTTTGATCATAATCAATATTCAACAATAGTCATCCTAATATTCATTTAACAAATAGCGGTCTAGCGTTGAGTGTTAACACCCTAGCTCACCATCACGCATCACATAAGATTTTATTTGTTAAAAACATTAAATTTATTTCCATAAATCATATTTACATTGATCATAATTGATTGGTACCAAAAATAGGATTTTAGAGCTCAAAATTAACATTTTCAGAATTATTTTCGGATCAACAAGTTTGGGGGATCGATTCAGCACTTAAGATCGATCCACACTAGAAGAAAATACTCCCAGGTGATCGATCCTGTAGGGTGGATCGACCCACTCTACTGGTTTTTTTATCATTGTTCATCTTCTTCTTCGTTCGGCCAATTTTTCTCCAGCTCTATTTTTCGTCACCAGACTTCAATTAAACTATATAGAAATGTTCTCCAAGGTTCATAGATCATTTTAGAATCATTAAAACATATTTTTAACATCAAATTCAAGGTTTATGATTCTTGGTTCTTCAAACATGTCAAACACAAAACTCAACTAAATGACCGTTTATGAACGTAAAAACAACCTATATGAACATTCTAATCTTTAGATATATCTACGGGCTTACCTTGAAGGTAAATGAAGGTTTTGAATATTTTCCGGCGAAACTTCCGTCAAAGATTGTGGCTTGCTCCGGCGACTTCACACCAAATTGACAGCACAACTTCGTTCTCCACACTCACAACTTTCTCTCCGAGTTTATTTGAAGGAGAATGGTGAAGGAATGAGGGAGTTAGATTCTCCTTTTATAGGGAAGATGAAGAAGAAGGAAACAAAGTCTGAGTAGATGCTGCGTAGGAACTTCACGTTCTTCTTTCGGCGATAGTGCGACTTAAGGAGACTCAGTACGTTACTCTCTGATTGGGACTAATTTTTGGTCCAGTCGGGGTACACTTTTCGGTCCAACTTTCTCCGAATTGAAATCCGTTTGCACCGTTGCGATCAGACAGTCGAACTCTATCCAACGATATAATTTTTATATTCATTTGTTATACTTTTCCCGACACCACATTTTTGGGTGTTTGACCTTAACAGAGTCAAAATTGGTTTAATTGACCTTTCTCATAAAAGGTTCTCTCATTTAATTCATATNACGTTACTCTCTGATTGGGACTAATTTTTGGTCCAGTCGGGGTACACTTTTCGGTCCAACTTTCTCCGAATTGAAATCCGTTTGCACCGTTGCGATCAGACAGTCGAACTCTATCCAACGATATAATTTTTATATTCATTTGTTATACTTTTCCCGACACCACATTTTTGGGTGTTTGACCTTAACAGAGTCAAAATTGGTTTAATTGACCTTTCTCATAAAAGGTTCTCTCATTTAATTCATATAAATTATTCTCATGATTTATTTCAACAAATCATTTCAATATTTACATTCTAAACAAATTCTTTATTTACTCTTGATTTGGGTCTGTACTCAGGTTCTCAATCAAGACCACACAAATAGTTCACATATTGAATTTATCTCTATGAGACTTATCCAGATTTTGATATAAGATGTCAAAACAAATTTCTTATCGGCCCAAAGCCCAACAATAATTTATTTTAATCAAAACAAATTTGATTAATTGATTATTTATTCATTAATAATTCTAGGGTATATTTTGGGGCGTTACATTTTCCTTGTCCTGAAGAGCTGTCAGTTTTTCATTACCTATATTATAAGATGATTGAGCTTCTTTTGTAGCCTTGACGAAGTTCAACATTTTATGTTCTTGAACAGTGTGTTCAGTATAACCCAGACTAGTTTTGTTCTTAGGATTATTGAAAATCTCTTCCTGTTTCTCAAGAACTTCTGCTCCAGCAATCTTCATCCATTTTCGAATGTCTTTGAGTTGATTAACTTCAAATCTCAAATCTAATTTTTCTCTTTCCATTTCCCGAAGCTTGATCTTTGATTCTGTATGTTTTTGCTTGAGAGAATTGATATCAGAAATCAACCCATTCTTTTCTGCAATATTTCTTCTATTCATCATCAAGAGTTCAGTCCATTTCTCCTGTAGATCAGTCAGTTGTTTTGCAAGACTATCTTCATCCTCTAGTATGACTTGAGAGGTGAAAGCACAATTTTTCACCATCTTCCAGGTAATCTTCGGTTTCCTCATCACTCCAGGTGGCTGAGAAGGCATGTCACTTCTTTTTCTGGTTGTTTGCACATTCTGTCTGGATGTGTCCGAAGCCACCACACTCAAAGCATTGCGGTCCTTCTTTATGCTATTATCTGGTGCTAGAAGCTTGTACTCTCTGACCTTTGTCTCTTTGATAAATATTTTGTTAGCAAGATAATGTAAATGATCAGTATATGACTTGGTACCTTATGACCAAATAGTTCCACACCAATTTTACAAAACTTTAATAATTTTTAGTGATCTCACAACAATTGAGTATACTCGATATTTTATCTATAGAAGCACATTTCTAATCCTTTTCATTGAAAACTCTTTGTTTCAAAGATGTCTTGTTTTTCAATCTCTTTAGGTGATCTAGTGTTATTTAACCATTGATAAAATTTGGGATTCCACAAATTTGGATGCAAATCATTTCATGATAGTAGACTAAAATAAGATTAAAGTAAGAGGAATATTTTTTTATAGAGGGAACACTATATATCTTAAAAATATATTAGTATTAAAATATAAAACATAAAATCATCATGAGAACATGTATGTTGTACTCCCTCTGTTTCCTTAAAGGCTTTCTATTTTGACTATCTGGTAAAATAAGGATGGCAAAATATGGGGAAGACTTTACCAATATACCCCCACTTGCATGTTAGGATTAAGGGCAAAGGAAAAAAAGAGAAAAGGAATCATTAATGAGAGTGGATTGTCATGAATAGTGAAAGCAATTAATGCTCTCCACCCATGTTCACATCTTTTACACAGCAAGTACAATTATGAGGGAGGGAAATTGCAATAATATGTTTGGGAAAATTTTAAAAATCCCTCCAAATATTTCAATGAAGCTCTAATTCTTCAAAGATAAATATCCTAACAAACCAACATTAAAGGAATATTCTTTTTCTTCGAAAAATGGCCATGCCTTAAATGCAATTCACTTCCTTCCATTAGCATTAATGGCAACACATGCATTTCCTACTTCCTCAACCACTGGAACATCTAATTCCACACCTCTTTCAGTTGTCAATGCTGATTCCGCAGATGTGTTATTGCCCCCACTCGTGGATGTTTCTTTCGAAGCTTTCAACACCCTTGAAACAAAAAACTCAATGTGTATATCTTGTGTGCAAGAAGAAATGAAAAGATGCACAAAATAATTAAAGCAATTCTACAAAAATTCAAGTACGGCAAACTTTAGCATGGGTCAATCAAGACATGCGCTAAGGACTTCAACATTCTAGATCGTTGGGTTTGAGTGCTATGGAGAGTTGCCAAATCTCAATTGGTAAGGGGTGAACCTGTGGATGTTTAATGCAGGTGGCATGGTACCTCCAAAAAAAAGATTCAATGTGGACTTATCAAAGATTGTTGTTATTCCATTTCACTAGTGGCAAACCTTACGTACTTTTAGCCACTGCTTGAATGTGTCCACTCCTACAACACATAGGTGGCTGAAGAAGAAAAAGATAAGAAGACACTCAAATGCCATAAAACCTCATATATGCGAAAAAGGTAATTTAAAAAGGTTTAGGTAATGTTTAGCTCTTATTTCTCCCACATCACTACCAAAAAACCCCACATTCCATCATTGTTATGATTACATACATATTGATGAGAATTGGTTTGACTTGAGCAAGGCCAAAAAAACATTCTACACATTTCCTAATGAGGCAAACCCCTACATAACCATACCGTCCAAAACCCACCTTCCCAAGATTATATTTTTGGCTGCTGTAGGGCGTCCCAGGTTTGGAGATGATGGTGAAGTATCGTGAGATGAAAAAATAGGCATATTTCCATTCACATATGAGGAAGCTGCTAAAAGGACAAGCAAGAATAGGCTTGCGGGTACCATGGAAACCAAGCCAATACCAAAAATCACAAGAGATGTGATGAGAAATATGATTGTACACCAATTACTACTAGCAATAAGGGGAAAATGGCCATGGAGAAGTAAGCATGTACTCATACAACAGGATAATGCTAAACCACATGTTGATATTAATGACTTAGTCTTTGTTTGTGCTGCACAAGAAGGTGGTTGGGACATCCAGTTCCAATTTCAGCCCCTAAATAGTCCAAATTTAAATGTTCTTGACCTTGGGTTCTTTAGGGAAATAGATGTAATTCAAAATAAGAGTGCACCCAGGTCATTGGGGGAGTTGATCAATACTGTTACAACATCTTTTGACCAACTCACAGCATAGACCTTAAAAATGTCTTCTTAACATATCAGGGGGTCATGGGTGATTTCTTGAGGCACAAAGGAGGAAATGATTTTAAAACACCTCATATTGGGAAAGTAAGGCTGGCTAGGGAAGGAATTCTACCAGAGAATATAGGAGTCAGTATTGAAGTGTATGAAGATATTGTCCACTTCTCACATCTCAACATGTAAGAGAGAAAGTGTAGTTCTTTTGTGTATAATATTTTTGTTTATACATCTGGTGTACGAGTGCACAATATTTTTGTTTTTTGGTGCAAGTGTAGTCCAGATATATACATCTTGTAATTATGTAGTGCTAGATCTCATCTGTAAAACTGACAATGAATCATTACACAAGCTTCTTTGTTTTCATATTCTACTTTTATCACAAGAACACAATATATAGGGACAAACTTCCATAGAGAATATAGAAATAAAAAGACATTCTACTTCCATCACAGGCAGAGAAAGGGACCATCATATTTAGGGAGTCAGTGTTATGGACAAACTGCCTGAGGCAACATATATAGAAATAAAAAGGCATTCTACTTCCATCACAGGTAGAGAAAGGGACCATCATATTTAGGGAGTTAATGTTAGGGACAAACTGCCTTGGAGAACATAGAAATAAAAAGACATTTTACTTCTATCATAGGCAGAGAAAGGGACTATCATATTTAGGGAGTCAATGTTAGGGATAAACTGCGTCAAACAACATAGAACATAGAAAATAAACACATTCTACGTCCATCACAGGCAGAGAAAATGACTTTATTTCTTAGGGAGTCAATGCTTAGGGACAAACTACCACAAAGAACATAGATTAAAAAGACATTCTACTTCCATCATAGGCATAGATTATACACTTAGGCGGTGAGCAAGTATAGATTAAATGCCTAAAAAAACATGCACAAATACATTTCAAGTTCAATCAGAGACACACATACACCTTTACAGCATCACACACATGACACATTGAACACCGAAGGTCTTACCTAACACGTCACCGTAATTGAGTATTGTGAGCCTCCAAACCAATAGGGGTGGCATTACAACCTAACAACTCTCACAATATTTTTAAGATAATCTTTGGTTTGCATCATAAGTTTACCCAAAAACCGCATAGAAAATCAACATGCAAGCACTTATACACAAAGTATAAAGGACAGAGGATTGAAGGACTTCCTATTTGCTCAGCAAAGAAAATATCTATATCCAAGGTCATTTCCCGAATATCATTAGTGGTAAATGAGGACTCAACATCGGATGAACCTTCTTCTAGATCTGACCCCACTCAACTCCATTCGGCAGATGGTCACCCCAAGGTAATTTTTCTAGTAGTTCTATGACGTATCGGTGTCAGATGAATATGATGGAAGCACATCTACATTAAGCTTGAAGGAAGCATCAGAAAGTTTCTACCTGCCCAACAATGACTGGCATCTTCCAGTACGATGAGGGTGTTCCTCATCGATATTAGATAGTAAGCAAAATGAGGTCATGCTCGGATTTGGAGAAGAAGAGAGGTAAGTGAGGATAAGCGTGAGAGAAGAGAGAGAATCTCCAAGTGTATGGTTATACGAAAAGGTTGTCAGGTGGAACGTTGGAGAGGAGTAAATTAGGGTTGGGAGTATTTTAGGGATTATAAGTGGAAGTGGAAGTATTTTTATAGAAAACAAAACAATGAAAGAGGAATGATTTTTAGGAACTGAGGGAGTATTATATTATGGACATACTCTTCAATGTAAAACACTTTGAAGGTAATCAATATACACATGCATATAAAAAGAACGATGCAAATGATTAAATGATATCACAGACTTTTAAGAAATACAAATTGCCTATAACTACAACTACGGAGTATAATATTTTACATTTACATGTTCGTTCATCAAGACCATTTCAATGGAGTTTGTTGTCCTCTCATCGCCAAATGCAGCCACCCATATAAATGCAGGTAATGTATACAGTTTTTTACTGTATTTAATTAGTACAATTTTTTTAACTTTTCATTGAGAACATAAAGTTCCTATTAGCTGACCCTTCAAATCAAAATATAGGGAAAAAATGAATACAAAACATGCCACCATTTGATTTAATTAGTACAGAGCATTGTTTTTTCATAAAGCACACACATGGTGCCGATTGGGTTTTTTGCAATATCGTTTACGCTTTTGATAAAACACATTCAAATTTAATCATAAAACTTTTTAAAAAAATTACTAAGTTGGTTTATAATAAAAGGAGGAGATAAGGGGAGAAGAAGGTTGGACTGAAAAAGAAAAAACAGAATACGTATAGAACATAAGGAGGCGGGGGGAGGGGGGGGGATAAGCCTTAGAAAAACATAAAACCGATGATCCAAACATTGTTTTTAGCTGATTGACCAATATAGTCATATATAGTCGATCAAGAGAGCCAGCAAAAAACATTTTTCTAAACATGGCCATAATCACTTAGCTTATTATGACTTATGAGGTATGTAGTGGATGGGTAACACATTTTGTCGTCTTTGAAATAAGGGACGACTAGGCAATATATAGACATTCAATTGGCGTATGAAGCACTTATTAAAAATGAACTGATTAACCACAAGAGTCACAATGGCAAGCCACCGGGGCAAAAGCACAAGTGCCACTAGGCTTGTTTGGGAGGTTGCATTTGAGGGCGTAACAACATGGAACATCGGAGCAAGTGCTCCGGTCTGTCGGCGACCGGCAACATGTGCACGTTTGGCATGTCCCAAATGGCGCAAGTCTCCTCCGCTCCCCATAGTCGTCGTCACCCCCCACTGCATGCCTCATCATCAACTCCATCGCCGGCGGTGTCACTGGCACTAGTGCTCCTTCTTCTCCCCCACATCCTGATCCTAATTTAATAAAAAGTGTAAAATTATTGTCCCAATAATTAATTAGACACATGAGGCCTGTTTGGGAATAGCTTTAGTGATTAGCGTTAACGTTTTGAAAAGGCTATCTACGGGCAGCGTTTAACGTTAGCATTTTCAAAGTAATCTGCACCGTAAAAATTTTATCCAAAGCGCTAACGCT